ATATTCAACAGATACCTATATATTATACGAGGCCATGAATTGCCAATGCTATGTATTTTAGATGAAATTCATTTGTTTTTTCAGCAAATCGATCCGGAATCTTCACGTGGTTCGACGGCCTGTGCGGAGGCCGAGACGCGTCTTTTGATATATAGAACGCCCCGATTGAGAGACAGTTTTTTGTTAATTTTGTCGACTTCCATTATTGTCTCAAGCAATAAACACATATTGTGATAGTTTTTTTTTTTAATTTTGTTTGATATGTTATAAGCATTGGGAATGTGGCAGTGCTTTATCGAAGAAATAGGTAGATGCTACCGGTATGGGATTCGAATAAGATTTGAAATAAAACCCTTATAACAAATTAGATTTCAGAGTTATTTAAGGCTAGTATTTAGGTGCAAAGACAGACAAAATATCACTTGAGATCTTTTATACAGAATTATTACTACGTTACCATTCTACCGAAAGGTTTTAACACTGTTTATGACTAAGCGTACAACGTTTTAGGGGAATTTTTCAAAACATTTTTCGTCACACCAAATTTTATGCGGCCATGTCGTGCGCCGGTTTTCCTGCATAAAAAAGTATAATGTTGTTACTGTGGTGTGGTTTCATCGTGTAATTTCATACCATGTAGTGTCGTACCAATTTTGGTGTTACTATTTTGATAATAATACTTATTAATATTTTAATTGAAACATATTACAGCTTACTATCGCTATTAAGCTATTCAAACAAAAATATAACTAAAGGCTAGCTAGAAACTAGCATACTAAATAGGTATCTAGTTTTTTACAATAATTGTGTACCTAAGAATAGAGGAAGAAAAATTAAAAAGTGGGATTAAGACACGAATATCTTAAGAGGAGGCCCTTGTTTTAAGACAAGTTGAAGAGTAACCTTTTGCCGAAATAAGAATTAAACATATGTATATAATTTACTAGCTGCTCCCACGCGGTTCCCTTCGCTAGTCGGCTCCTATTAGTCGTAGCATGATGTTTTATAGCCTAACAAACAAAAATATAAATGAACTAACAAACAAAAATATTTTTTCAATTTGAACCAGTAGTTCCGTAGATTAGCGCGTTCAAACAAACAACCTCTTCAGCTTTATAATAATATATAAAAAAGTAATAAGTACCTATAGATAATACAGATGATTATAGTACATACTTAATAAGTTCTACGCATACTTACAAAACTTTGGATATTTAAAGAAATATCAATAATAAAGGCTTTTTATTTTATTTATTACTTATGTTACCTATACGCATCAATTAGGTAGATTTAGTTTCAACTTAGGTAGCCTAACATGATACTTCAAATACAATGACTAACCTTTTACATTGTTTCTCATTGGAAACTTGATAACAGTATTTAAATACAGAATTCCATTAAATGTTATTGTTTACATAATATTATTATGAACATAACGTCTAAAATTTAAACTCGCTGCTTTTTCTGTTGATTTACTTTTTTTGTTGTTATAACAAAACAAAAAGTTGAAATTGGAATAACTAATTTTGTAAAGTACAAACACCGTTTTTAATCATAACAGAGGTTGAACCTACGATTTTAAACGTAGAATTCGAGGTTAATGTGGGGTCATTCTTCCCGAACGACGCATTAAGATTTATGTAAAAAGAAACAAAAACTTCTCGCGCGAATTTCCTTACTCTTTCTAAAGTACGGGAAATATTTCATAAGAATTTAGTTGTTCTTATTTAAAAAAACATGTTTGTGTTCACAGGTGCAGTGTAGGGGTGGTACTACTGTTCCAGTATACGGAAGTTAAGCCATCGATTTTCGCCATAACACTCGCCTCAACGCTCTTAACGATCGGGGGCGCGAAGCAGATAATTATTTTGGTTGACGACTGAATATTTCAAAGGCAGATGCTTGATTCACTAAGAAATTACATCTTCCCTTTTTACAACGCCGTCACAAAGAACGTGGGGACGTCATTATTATTACTTTTTGTTACGCGTTTCTTATGACCGTCTACATTTCATAAAGATTTTTATAGGAATAATAAATTTAAGGAGGATAATTAACTTTTAAGCGTTGCCTATGGTCGTTATAGGACAGGCAGCGGTAAGAACAAATTCAAGATGAACACGCGGAAATTACTTGGTATTTAAATTGTAATGAAGAAACTTTTTAAAGGTTTGTTTTAATGGTTTTTACTTAAAGTAACTCGCATACTTTCGTTAGTAGAATTTTGTAACATAATAAAGTCCTTTAGTACTGGGTTACACGGAGCAATTACTCTGTAAGTAAGTATTAAATTCGTATTCTAGTGTAATGAAGACGGAGGGTGAGTGGAGTGAGTTCGCATTACAACGCGGCACAATAATATATGGGGCCGAATGTGTCCGTGAGGTGCAATGCGGTACACTTAATTACACACCTGATCCCTACTACTACCCTAATTTATAAATTAATTAACATTTCAATGATGTATTTATTCATAATGAAGTTGGTTGCGTAGATAATACCAAGCCCGTTCTCCCTGGAGAGCTAAAGGACAGCACCTTCACAGAATTTTCGACAGTAATACCTAATGATTAGTAAGTACGTACTACGTAGTAAATAAGTAAATTCAGTTTGTCGGGAGCAAATTATAAAATATGACGTAATTTTCGAAAAAAAACAACCTATTCCACCAGAGAACTAAAAAGGGCCTTAACCTCAAATATATGGCACAGGTATAGTTTCGTAATATTAATAGGTACCTAAGTATGTCAGGTATACCTACAGGGAAAATTTCTAAGAATTATTGGTTGTGTAAGTCAACTTTTCCTGTTATTAACACATTTCCATTTATGAGTTAATTCAGCATAATATATATTATTGTTGGTAGATTTATTCGTCAACCTATATATCTAAGTATTAAATATAAATACAATTATTGATATAGCAAGGTAATAATTTCGTTACCTATACACATAAGTAATTTAATTTAGTCTACTGAGTTCTAATAGTCAATTAAGATATTTGAATTATGTCAAAATGCTCAACAAATTAGTTTTGATACAGGTACTTGTAATTTACTCAGTCATTTTAGATTGTCTTTTAATGTTTGTTGAGATAACTGAATCAAATATGAATAAATTTATATTCGACGACTTGGATTTGTAATAACATAATAATTACAAGTCCAAGTCGCTTCCTCTGTCCCTATATTCCTAGACTATGCCTAAATCTTCAAAACTTCGCAACGGATTTGGATGCGGTTTAATAGAGAGAGTGATTGAAGAGGAAGGTCTGTTAGTATAATAACATTTATTAAATAATGAAGAAATTGCGCACGTGTGAAGCCGGCGCTGGTCGCCTTACTACACATGTCAACTTATTTTAAGTGGGTGGTGCACAACATATTTATAGGTTTTATTCTCGCAACAATCCATAACTACCTCAATACATAATGTACAACACAATTACCTTATTTAATATTCTTTGTACGGAAATGAATATTTTGGGAAAATTACCTACGCAGGTAATTATCGAAATAATATCGAGTAATGACGGCTAAGCCAATACCAAAACAGCGTTTGATAAAAGGAACATTTTCAATCAAGTTTATAACACCGAAGCTGATTGAAATTTCGCATCTGCCGAATATGAACGGTAGACGAGTCAATCAGACTCTATTAGCGTCACCGTACACTGGACAGTATCAACTGGGAAATTATTGATTTGTGCCTAATTTCCGGTTGATTGGCGCCGGCCGGGCTGCGGGCAACGGGCGTATACGCGGTCGGCCCCTGTAACTTAGCACAGGTGAACGATTAACTCACACGAAACGAGATCTCGCCCCATCCGATTGAAAACGTTATCGATATATCTACGCAATCGATTTAAATTGAAAATCTCCTCACTAGAGGCGGGTCTACTCGTAATTCAATTTGTTTCAGGATGAATATTTTAGTTTGGCGAAAATATGGCTGTGTTACGGAAGGGCTTGTAGGGGTCTGTGAAAATTAAATCACCGGAAATGGTTGTAACATTGTATTAAAATGAACTCAAATAGTGGTATGTGTTAAAACAGGAAACTTGAGTACTGTGAAAGAGTAATAACGTGGACCGTGGGGTGGCAGCCCTATGCCGGTCGCATGACCCTCGCCAAGTTTAACGAAAGGTTAACATTCTAAAGGTCGAACACTAAAAATCAGTCGTGTGTACCTAATTCAGTCCTCCAGGGACAGACTATTGGTCGCCATCAAATACATAATTATATACAGCACACTCAAACTTTATAGTTAAGCAAGTTTGAAGCAAATAGACGTGAATATTATAATGTTCTGGCATATACTACTAACTACATGTTAGTAAGCTTGCAAACCCTTCAACGATAAACAGAAAGAAATTTGTGTCTACGTTAGTACCTAGCTACCTAACTAAAGATCGTAAGTACGGGTTTTCTACTTAATATAATAAGGATAAAACAGGTTTTGTAATTAATTGTCATCTCACTAACGTACGATCAGGCCGATATAATTTGTAATTCTAGTGCCGTTAACCAATTACCTGAACACAAGCCGAATGAACACGTATAGATCAGTAGCAGCACGTTCTTGATAACAAAGTTATTCGAAGCGTTATTGAAGTATTTAATTAAGTATAGCGCAGCAGGTATCGGAACATAAACATCGGCGCCGCTGACAACAAACAGATAATCCGCAAAATATATCTGACTGATAAGGTACCGGTGAGCCAATCTCCCCTTGAAAATTATTTTTCGTTCGCGTCCGCGCAACGTGATACGATCTACATACAGCCGGCGAGAAAATATTTTAAAAACAATGAAGGGTATTCACTTTTATCAACGCATCGTCGCTCGAGGGGTTATCCTGAAAAGGAGCGGTGAATAGAAATCCCTACGGCAATGCCGGCAGCCTATCAGTTCTGTGAATGGCTATTAACCACCTCGGGGCGACGATAACGATGAAAGGCGCGTTACATTAATGTATACGGTGTTTGCTCTCACTCATTACCTCGTCCTCAGGCTGACGCAGCAGCATGGGGGGCCCCACGTCCCGTGGCGCATTCACAGGGGAACTGGCACTCTCACTCACTGCACTGGTATTCACCATAGTCCCGCTGTTGTCAGCCTCGATAACGTCCCAGGGAACATTGTCGTCGTACACTGCCACATTCAGCACCTTGTCCCCGGCGTGGAACCGCCACGGCAAGTCGGTGCCGGTCTGCCGGGGCCGACGTCGCTTGTGCCGCACTTTATGTCGCGTGAACCTGCCGAACCCTCCGTCATGGCCTTCCTCCAGCATAGCATCGTACAACGAGTCCAAGTTCACTTTCAACTTGTGGCGCCTGGTGGTACGCGAGCCTGGAGTGGTGGCCGGAGCCGGCGTGGTGATGGGATCCCTACTGAGACCCTCCGCATCCCACAACTGTATTCTGAGGATGTTGTCGTGGGAGGGTATGTGGGCGCGCGCGTACGCGAGCGCGAGTACCGCGAGTGCGAGAGCGAGCGCGCGCGCGGACCCGTGCATGTCTGGCAGCGGCCGCGAGCCAACTGATGCGAGCGCTCGTCGCCGCTGTTTTCCCGCGCTTTCCCGATAACGCTACGAGCCACAGTACTACGAGCTGCACGCATTCGACATCAACGCCGCGCCTCCCTCGCCGCGCTACATTACATATCGCGCACTCTTTATCGCGACGTGATTAATTTGATAACAGCAAACATTACACCTATCGTGTCGCGCCCTGACAGCGATTACGACACGCAATTACCAAAGAAACGAGTAAATAAAACAAAATGTTCAACTAAATAAATTCTATTCCCATAATTTAACACAACTGTTGTGACAACTACAAATTAATCATTTTGTACTACAATTATAATAGCATTTGAAATGCAGCGAATCACGATACACTGATACGGATAGTTAGGTAACTGATAAAATATTTATCACGTGATATGGAATTTTATAACATTTTCAAAGAAATGCAATAGTAGCTAACATTAGGTACATGAGATATAAGAAACTTCATATATGTAGGTGCAGGTGAGAACTAGCGCTACGCGAACGACAATTAGTAGCAATGTGAATATGCAAGTTTTTTTAATCCACTTAGTAAATAATTTCACCATTATGGAGAATTGTTATTTATCAGAAAATCGCGAGAATATTTTTGCACATTAAAATTGCTACGAATATGCGTAGCACGCGTAGCAGCGATGTAGGCGTAGCCAATAACAAATATTTCAACAATTCAGCGTTGTTACAATATCAATAAAGATGTATACACTCAACTTAGTTAAACGTTAACATTTTCTGTTTGCGTTGCAAATCTTTTTTTTATTTATTTTATGTACTGTTGCTGTTTTGGAGGGAAATCCAGACTGAAGGGCAAACGGCGAAGATGACTTCTGTTCTATAAGTTTAGTAAATAATTGTTTTGGTCTTAAAAAAGAATTTAAGACTATTTTCATTTTTTAAATATTCATTTGGGAAACGATAATAGTTTTAAAAATCGTACCGTCATAATTAAAATACTCTACTCTCTACTCTTGCGTGATTTTGCTCGGGCACTTTTGGGAACATAGTAGCTATCTCATATATAAGTGAACGAATTTTGATAATCCGATTAGCGGTTCCAAAGTTTACCCCTCACAGATAAAATTAAAAATTTTACCCTTTATATACTTTATAATATCAGCACCTATAGATTTTGTAAGGGGCCTAATTTTACTGTCTCTCAATTTAAATTTTTTTTTGGCGTTATAATAGTTAACCTAAGTTATCTGCAGTTGAGTAGTTTTCTAGGTCAAAAATAAATTAATTCGACGTTTCAATACAATAAATACAATCGATCAATATGTACACTGAATTTTAGATATTTTTAGCTAATTCTTCAGAAATAAGTAAACTATTTGACGCAAAAAACTATGACGTCATACCTCAGTTTTTCATATATACTTCATAGAAAAGTATAGTTTTTGACATTTGGATAAAAGTATTGAATTTGACTAGTTGGAAACTACCGTATTATGTGTCGTCGTCAATCGCTTAAGAGCGATATCTGTAAGATACATATCGCCTATCCCTATTAACATTGTCGGATATGCAATTTTGCCATTTTTCTTTTTATTTCACTAATCATTCTTAAAAAGTCCATTCTTTTAGTAGAGATGACAGAAAACATAAAATTACATATAGTTTATAAAATAGCAACATTAACATTGTCAGATGTGTCCCGATCGCCAGTTAACAATGTCGGATATCAACTCGCGACAATGTTTGCGGGGTGCGCGGGGCGGCAGCGCGTGCGGTTGTGCCAGTACGGACCATGTTGCGCGGGCGTTCGCACGCTGCATGATTTTGTTGCTAAAGAGATTTATTTATCGTTTGTTGTTTCTTAATAATAAGAATAATGTTTACTAGGTCCGCACGTTTAGTAAAACTGGCTACTAAAGAATCTGAAGAACATGTTATGGATAAAAACAAGAGTATTGATTTAAATATTTCAACTTCTACTGATATAGATGAAGAAACAGGTAAATATTAATTATTATTTTATTACTAATAAAGCTTTTTAAACATGACTCTAATTTTGCAAGAATAAACTAATTTTAATATTTATTTTAATTTTATTTGTAATGAAATATGTAATAGTTCGGTTAAAAAAGTAGGATGTGACATATCCAACATTGTTAAATGACTTTTATGCACTAAAATATGTCAGTAGTGCCACATCCGACATTATTAATTGTTTTTTGTGAGGTGTAGTATGTCGGTAGTACAAGATTCGACTTTGTTGGCCGTTTTATTGTATGTTCTATTTGTCTGTGTTACTTCCAACTTTGTTAACGGTATATATTTTAAAAGATATTGTTGGGTGTGGTACATATTGCTTTGTTAACCGTTTAAGGATAAATAAATTGTGTTGGTTGTGGTATATTTTCTTGTTATTTTTTTTTAATTGCATTTTCTCGCTTTTTTACAAATTATACAGACTCTTTTAGTATCTTAAATAATTTTCATACTTGACAGTATACGGGAATGTAATTTATTTAGTTATTGCTAGTCTAACTATTTACTTAACTTTTCTAAAGAAATTTTTAATAAATTCGAAAAATTATAGTCACTGGTGGCTCAGTGGTTAAAGCGTCGGCACGATACGTCGGAGGTCGTGGGTTCGATTCCCACCTGTGACTAAAGTTTTTCGAATTTCTTATAAAATTCTTTAGAAATGTATTAATAGCTTTCATGTATGGATAAAAAACACAAATATATTTACTTAACTTTTTTACAGATAAAAGAGAGTCTCCATTGCCAAGTGGTTTCGAAAATCAGCTGATTAAATTGAATGAATTGCTTGGTGATGTTTTCAATGAAGATGATGCTTCGACAAAAGAAAACATCGAGCCCACTGCGCCATCATCTGAAAAGATTCAATCGACTTCATCGACAACAAAAAATATTGAACCCACTGTATCGTCAGCAGAAAATATTGAACCCATTGCATCGACCTCCACTCATTTTGAAATTATCGTTGACCATGAAATAACTCCGATGCCATCCCCATCCTCTAATGAAATTTGCGATGATACCTTCTGTGTCGGGTATGCAGAAAGTGAAAATCCACCAATATTTGACCAACGACGACTTGTATGGAAACTTACCCACACCTTCTGTAACTTCTTTTTCAAGTGTCTATACACCAACTGCTCAAAGTAAACAAACACGCCAACCTACTTTTAAAAGGGATAAAGGCAAGAAGAGACTAATTCATAAAGAAAATTGGGTGGTAAATAATAGAAAATCTTTAAAAAATCAGGGGAAGAGTTTTACAAATCATAGGGGAAAACATATACAAGAAAAGCAGTTAAAAGAACCGTGTAATGAAAAATGTCGACTTAAATGTTCCACAAAATTCTCTGAAAAACAGCGGGAGATAATATTCAAAAAGTTTTGGAATCTTGGAGACCGTCAAAAGCAATGGCACTTTGTGATTATGTATACACAAAAAATACCAAAACGCCGACAAACAACGGAAGTAACTAAACATGATCGTAGAAATACCTTTTATTATTTTCTTCCTAACGAAGATAAACAAAAAACAAAGGTATGTAAGACCATGTTCTTAAATACTATTTCTGCGGGAGAGCGAATTGTGACAACATCTTGGAAAAAGTATGATGGAGAAATGACAGTATCAGACGATAAACGAGGAAAATATATACATAAAGCTAATGTAATGGATGAAGAGATGATCAGAAGCGTATGTGACCACGTCAAATCATTTTCTTTAGTGGAATCACATTATATCAGGAAAGATTCCAAGAAATTATACTTAGAAGATGTAAAAAGTGCATCTCGTATGTTTAACTTGTATTCTGAGTGGTTTGACAGTGACAAGTATCGTAACAAAGCATCAACAAAACGACAATATCGCGACATCTTAAACGCTAACTTCAATATAGGTTTTCATAAGCCGAAGAAAGATTTATGTGATGTCTGTCACGTTTATTGTAATAAAGAAATTCCAACAGAAGAAGAAAAATCTGCATTTCTGAAACATCAATCGGCCAAAAAAGCTGCTCGTGTACTAAAACAGCAGGACAAAAATGAAGCGATATCGAATGAAGAGATTGTGGCAGCAACTTTTGACTTTGAAAAAGTTTTAGTTACACCACACGGAGACGTAAGCGTTTTTTATTATAAAAGAAAATTATCTACACTGAACTTCACTTTATACGAGTTAGCTACAAAAGAAGCCACTTGTTTTATGTGGCACGAAGCAATAGCAAAACGTGGCGCGAACGAAGTGTCTAGTTGTCTCTATCAGTTCATCAAACAAAAGGTTATACAAAATAAAGTAAAAACATTTCGATTTTGGTCAGATAACTGTGCTGGGCAGAACAGAAACCGCATAGTTTTTGCCCTTTACCTGCTAGCTGCAAAAGAATTTGGAGTCACTATTACCCATCGCTTTATGGAAAAGGGTCACACCCAAAACGAGGGTGATAGTGTCCATTCGACTATTGAACGAGCTAGTGACCGCAGGTTAATCTATGTTCCAGAAGAATGGTACTGTCTTGTTCGCTGGGCTAAAGCTGAAGGTAACCCCTATAAAGTAATAGATATGAAAACCTCCGATATATATGACTTTAAGTCCCTGTTAGCCAATAAAAATTGGTCTAAAAACAGTGAAAACGAGAAAATCCAGTGGACTCGCTTAAGAGAGGTGACAGTACATGCACTACACTATGACAGGATTGAATATAAGTATAATTTTGAAGATGAACCTAAAACCATAAAAATTTTAAGATCTGGTAACCGAAACACTGAAAGGTTGTCCCGTGAATTTGAAATCAAACAGGCTTATGATGGTGATCTCCCTATTAGTCGTAATAAATATAAAGATTTAATAAACTTATGTCAAACTAATATAATTCCAGAAAAATATCACAACTTTTACCAAAAATTAAAATTTGATCAAAATGTCCAAGAGAATTGTGTGTTAGTGTCTTGAAGATATTGATGAGGATTAATTAATAATGACTGACATGATTTTGTTCCTATTATAAAATGTGATAAATAAGTGCCATTGTTAAAATAGTAAAAATCATAAGACTGATTAGTAGGTTGAACGAGATTAGTAAAAAAATTTATAAGTTTTTTTAAAAAATTATAAAATTACTTACATTAATATTTTTATTAATTTTGTAATATTAAGTAGATATTAGAACAGTTCGGTCGATTTTATTTGTTATTCTATTCTGCTATAGTTATTTTTTTTTAATTCTGAGATTTTTTGTGCAATGTGCGCTACGTAGCTACTTTTTTATTATTTTCGTAAAGTTCATAAGATTTTTGTTTAAGAGTAAGTCGAACGGTTCTATTTTTTATCCTTTTTATATTTTTGATAATTAACAATTAAGGTTTTGGTTTCATTTAAGGCTGTGTATGATGGGCTGTTTTATTTTTTATACTTCCGGAGTCCTTTTTAATTATATTATTTTTTAAGCTTTTCGTTGATTAAAGTGCCTTGTAAGTGAAGCCCTTTGTTTTGGTATGTTCCTAGACTCTTGTTTTCCTTGATTTTGTTTTGTTGATTTTTTAAATAAATATATGATTACAAAGATTTCTCTAAATTTATTTTATTTATAATCTCATTTTAGATATACATAATTTTGTCTAGGATTAACGGTTAACAATGACGTATATGGCACTTACAACAACTAATTGATAAGTTTGTGCAAGTAACATGGTCGTATGTGGCACTTCCTACGAAAAGTCTATTAATAAGTACTTGTAACATTGTCATATGTGGTAGATCCGACGATAAAAATTTGATTTGGTACCATTAAAAAAGTCATTTCTGACTTTTAGCATACTTATAAAAACAATTACAACATTTTATTACGATGTACTTAAGCTTATAAACATGTATTAAAATTCAGTATGTTTTTGGAAACTTAGGCTGTAAATTAAAAAAAATATCTACATATCAAACTTTGACTCGCTCTCTTGTAAAGTTGCTAATTTTCACATCCGACAATGTTAATAGGGATAGGCGATATATGAACAGGAAAGCCAAAATTCAATTCTTAGGTATTCGAATTTTCCGTGTTTTGTTTAAAATTAATAGAAATTATTAACATTATGTGCGGTGGATATTCCGCAAGTTACAGTGATGTATGAAAATTAATAATTCGAATTCATGCATTTGTTAAACTTGCTATACAATTTTAATTCGGAATTTAAAACAAAAACTCGTTGAATAAAATTAAAACTTGAAAATGAACAGTGAAATTTTCGCCTCGTACTACTAAATCGAGGCCACTTTTCAAATAATAACGGTACATTTTAGAATAAAACAGAAGTTGGCCACAAGCAACAAAACGTTCCAAGCTCAAAAACTGTACATATTGAATAAAGTGAGTCTCGTACCAACCTCTACGTTTCCCGCCCCGATTTCCGTTTCCGCTACCGTATCAGCGACCAAAAACAAGCCCCACAACTGAATAACATTTATAGTTTATACGATTTCCGACCAAAACAACAACAAATATTTGTCAAACTTTTACATAGGATGTACGATTTGGTCTAAAACCGAACATAAGTACCATTTTGCTATGACATTAATTTAGTGGCAAGTAAATAGGAAACGCTTTACGATAAAATTAGTGAACGGTGAGTAAATAATCTCTTATATTTGTTAAAATATTTATACGGAATATAAAAGTAACCATAGTACGTACCATTTTTACTTTTTTCGTATGTGTTTTGTTTTGTCACTACGTATAATTCATGTATACCTCATCATCAAAGTCCATCATCAAAAATCTGTTTCAGTCCACTGAATTATGGACCTTTTGCACGTAGAAGTATTGGACATAGTTGCTTAATAGGTGATTTGAAAATCACAATTTAGCAGGTAAATAAATTAATTGAAAATAACGACACGAATTTACTGAATAAAAAGTTTCAAGTCACGATGGGACTCTTGTTCATGAGCAGGAGAGCAAGCGCGGTCGTTTTCAGCAGAGGGCAACATTTTCAATAAATTTATTTACCTTTTAAATTGCGATTTCGACTCATTTTTAAAGCTATCATAATTATGATGACTTTATCAAATCATTAAAATAAAATTAAGCTTGAGTTAATAAAATATATACAATTATATTTTCTCTCTGTCTGATCTTGAATAAGTGAGTGGGACAGCAATACAGAATTTCGAATTCGGAATTCTTAGGCGCGTACTATAGGTTACATGTTGAATCAATATCTAAGTACATAGTTACAAATATACTTATGCATTATATGAATAGTATTAAAATTATTATCAGAGACACATTCGAATGTCGTTACATAATATAGAACCATACATTAATAATTATTAATTCATATATAAAAGCAACCATGCTATAACACCGTATTATTTTACATAATACAAAACATATGTATTGTAAATGAATCTAAGAACTATTTATAGTACAGTATTAGTTACACAGATATAAATAGCATTGCTAAACGATAGAGTGTTCTAGTGGTCTAACCGCTAGTTTGCCGGTATATGAGACACAATAGAAAACACATTGTGTCTCGCGTATATCTGCGCTCCGGCATACCACGAGTTAATTAAAGAATCACTTATTAGAATAAAGCGATGCAAAATTAAAGTTAATTGGAAAATGGATTTAAATCTTTATTTAATCCATTTCCTGAGTTAAGTAATCATTTAATGTCTGAGCACGGCGATAATACAGTATTATAATTGAAAATATCAACAAGAACAATACTTAAATTTGCATAGTATAAGTGAGTTTGCACGAATTACATATAATGCAATACAATTATATATAGGTACTTAACTATAGTTAAAACTACAGTCGGCTACTGAAAACAGACTATGACATAAATATATTGTTTTTAATTAATATAATATAGGCCATTATAAGTAATAATACATACGATAATTGTATTGATTATTAATGAAAGCAAGAATATTCATTTTAACTACTCGTATAAATACACAATAACATTACAATATTAAGAAAATACTCTAAATTCATACAAACATTGGTTATATTTCAATAAGTTTACAGTTCAAAAGAGTTCTATTTACAAAAAGTTTTAAATATTATTCCATATTGTGATAAAAATCGGTGGTTCTTGAAACAGGTTCATTTTATTATTGTAACTATGAATATTTTTAATAAAACATTTACTTATTACAATAATTTTTAATTGCTGTGCCCGGATATATAAAAATTACATTTTATGTGTTATACAAACGCGTCAAAAGTATTGCAACATTTTTTTTCTACAGTGAACACACTTCTCAAAAGACTTGTATCCAAAAATTGTCATTGAGCATGCTAAAGCGTTATAAAAAAAATATAAAAAATAGTGACGGGCTCTACTTACGTTTTAAAATAAAAAATATATATTATAATGGCAATGTTTCATCAATCACAACACTTATCTAACAAGTTTATTGTCATTATAGACTGAGCTAGCATTAGCCCTACAATGGAACATTATAATGAAGATTAAAAAAAACAACAAGAAATACATAGTAATTTCAACTTTGTAGGTAATAACGCGTAAGCTAATAATTTCGAAATAACAATAAAATAAACAATCACAAATAATTTCAAATATAAAGCTTCACCGAACGAATTTTTTTTCTGAATGACAAGTCAAGGTGTCATATAATACTGCCTAAAATTGTGACCATCCCAATACCTATCGCCTCCACACTTCCAATTAATATTTTATTATGTTATATTTGTAACAACAATTAACAAATGAACGATCTATACAATGCTATAAAAATTACAAATTGTACTAATATAATCACAATGAAATAGACATTATTTACATGTTATATCAATTCCTGATACTAGTTAAGTAATATTGGTCGCATAAAGCCGACTATACGCTACAACCTCGTAGATGTACCTACAAACCTTACATTATAATATATCGCTTACACCGTTATAAACCCTACCTCTATCCAGTAATGTATGAACCGACCTTTTTGGTTAAAAGCTGAGAATGATTATTCAACTAGAAGAAATGCAATAATTAATTTGAACAACGAACATGGCTTGCTAACAAATGTTATTAGAGAGCTGGCAACGATGCTCTTACAATAAGACCTACGGCGACTAGTCACAGAAAAAACCTTAAATGATGTTAAGTGAATTTATATTATGCCTAGCCTTCTCACCGCATACATAAAAGAGACAAAAACTAGAGAATTTTACGACAGCAAAAATTTAATTTAAAAAAAAAACATTGTCTAATCACAAATTCGTTTATTACAAACCAAGGTTTTCTTTAGTCTTGGTCTGACTAAACCATAGAGCTAGTTTTTGTATTTCGAATTGAAGGTAGGTGAGAATAAGATTCAAAATTCAAAACCTGACTCAATGGTCTAAACCTAGACATAGATAAGTCCTGTTTTGTAATAAGGGAAAAAAGGTTTACAACGTCGCATATAGGCCTTCAATAATAATAATAATAATTTCATACAAAGAATATTTTGTGTCGTTCCAAATTTATATACTTATATTTCACTGCAGTATTCTTAAAGCTAAGGGTACACCGACAAGAATCAAACACCGTTATTGTTCTTTCTTAGGTTAGCCGGCGAGCCAGGCAAGTAGGTTTTTAGTCAGTCAATGCTGAGATCGTTTGAGAAATGACGCGACAGTTTCGCGACGTCAAGGCCGGTGAAATCTGTGAAAATGTCTGAGGTAGCTGTTGAAGGTTTGGGCCTTCCAGGGGATGAACTGCTGGAGGCCTGCTCGCAGGGATCTATTACTACTAAACTGTCCTCTTTGCTACTTACTTCGAACGGCTCTGATATACCTGTGAAAGAAATTCGATCTTAAATGGTTGGTATACGGTCTACTTTTATACTTACAACTTTAAATATTAATATTCTGAGTCTAAATTAGTTACCTACTTGCATAAAAATCGCTAAGAGAGAAATAAGTTTATAAAGAAAACCAGAATACATATACATACAGATGATCCTATGCCATAGACCGTACGTACTTTCAATAATTTCAACTAACTAATATTATACTCAATATACACCTAGCTTCAATGCCAGACTAAACTATTGACGTATCAAAAGCGTCTGTATGGAATCTACTTCAATAGAAATACTTTGACGGTAAATAAAGAGGTTTATGTGTGGGAGAGCCATGCTTCGGCACGAATGGATCGGCTCGACCGGAGTGATACCACGGCCTCACAGAAAACCGGCGTGAAACAACCACAGCGTTGTGTTTCGCCGTGTGAGTGAGGTTACCGGAGACACAATCCTTCCCCTCCCCTACCCTTCCCCAATCTCCAAATCCCTAATCCCTAAAAGGTCGGCAACGCACTCGTAACTCCTCCGTTGCGGGTGCCCATGGGCGGCGCTGATTGCTTAACATCACCATCATACCATCAGGTAATCCGTCTGGTCGTTTGCCGACTTATTACGAAAAAATATAAATAAACAAGCGAAACTCACCCAAGACACTCCTAACATCATTGTTAGGTTGGCTAAAGTATATGAGCCTGTAGAAGCCCGGTGTTCTGACTCCACTGCCGACCGGGAAGCTTAGTGTAATAGTGCGAGGTTGGCCGCTAGCAGTCGGTGTCTCAGGGAGGCTGACTTTAGCAAGGTACTCGTACGCTATATAGTCATCCAAACTGTGGAAGTTGGCCTGGAAAATGTACACATTTGGTTATTCATTTATTTATTTATTTACGAAATTCAAACAGTTATAAGTGGAAAGACGGACATTTTTTGTTTTTTTAATGAGAATGTTTGGCGGTGTAACTAAATAATAATCTAGCGATCCTTCAGTGAATCTAATGATCTATTTGCGTCTTTGTAGCAAATCTAGAAGGGAGAAAAAAATATTCTTATGTAGTAAAAGGAATTTAGTATAACTTTATTAATTGCTCATAGTTTATACTTTTGGGTGTTACGCAAACAAATAACAATGCTATTCAAAGACTATCACCCGGTTTCCGAAAGGCCGATCAATGTTAAAATCAATTTAATGTCTTGTCAAGACACCTGATTGGTTGACTGAATTATCAAGAACCATTCAGATGACTTGACAAGAGATTTAACAGGAGATTAGTTAATTTTAGCGTTCACAAGCCTTTCAGAAACCGGGTGTAAATCAGAAACCAATAATTGTGCGATGCGCTAATACGAACTCAAAAATTAAAAATTAATAATTCTTCAAAAAAGTTTCCAAATATATAACATATAATATCGACACGTACATCGTATATACCAATCCAATCGTTAGGATTAACTTCTATGTCAGGTGTGAGCGTGCACTGGGTTCTGAAGTCAGCATCCCCGATATACCAGATCCGCGTTATTGGCGCAAATTCTACAGTCTTCTCCGTGTAGTTTGAAAACGTCTGTGGACAAAAATATTGTTTAATACACTTACAAAGAGCAAGGAAACGCATTATAAATTGTTTTATTTTTTTATTTATTTATTGGCTCACCAACAATTGTTTTACACACGTTTTATAAAATATTAAATTTAATATGGCATATTTAGTATATTCATGGCATATTAAATTTATTGAATATAATGACAACTTAGTCACGTGTATTAACTGAGCAAAGCTCTACTAGTTTAGTCTTGACTGCACGGTTGGTGCGGTGGCTGCTGTGCAACGTGTCGCGGGTTCGATTCCCGCACGGAACAACTCTTTGTGTATGTGAAATTTTAAAATTGGGGCAATGTTAAAAAAATTAGAACAAATAATAGAATAATAGCCACAACTCTTCTTCATTAGCAGCGTCCCGCCAGTTTGCTGCGCGGTATAACCACGATGCGTACGCAATTAATCCACGTGTGTAAGTGGTTATCTTAAATAATTTTTGTTTAGTATATCTGAAGTTAATTGGGCAGTCGCAACACCTGATAGTGAGCAATCAGCAACACTTATTACAACCCCATAGAAGTTACAATTGCATAGCATTTTAATGTTATTCTACTACAATAATATTAGGAAAATGTCTAGTTAGCTTTGCGAGTAAGGTGCATTGCTGATACAACGATACCATGCAAAATAATACGAAATAGCATGCAAACTATTGAAACAATGATCTAATAATAAACTTTTATCGAAACGTATGATCATATTATCTATTGTTACTTTTATGAAATACAAATGGGTCTTATGTGAATAATATTTTGTTTTCTTTTTTTTTAAATAATTATGCGACATTTAGACTTCTGAACAATGGCCTCTATTGTCAGTACCCTACAAAAGACTTTGAAGAAAAATAACTCACATAAAATCACATATTCATTCAATTTCCATCCTTAGACGGAAATATTACAGTATAGATTTTAATAAATAATACTACTATTTCAAACATTATTCACAAAAACCCCAAGCAAGTAAATTCTACTCACCTCTGAACTTGCAAACTCATCGATAGTGTCAATTTTGGCCGAGTGCATTGCATGCATATTACTATCAGCTGAGTCAATGTTTATGGGTGCCAAAGGTGCACTAAACATGGCCACTGGTTCTCCTTCAGTCACCTCAGAAGGCGCGATGATCATGGACCGCATTCGTATACCAGCAGGTCTCTGAGGCCTTTCCGCTGCAATCTCGCGAACGAACGATTTCCGAACCTACCATGCAAGCGTGCAAAATTAGGGGTTAATACAAGCTGAATAAGGTATAATATTGGGTAGGAGTGTAAGTAGCAGTTGCAATAAAAACTACTTGGTAAGTCATGCATTTTTAATAGAAAACAGAACTAACTCATGTAAGAGGGAATTTCAAAATTGAACTTTATTATCGAAACAGATTTGAATACTTTCTTTTTTAAGTTAGACCTCTTTTCTTTTAAGCATAAGTTTAAAAATTACAAAACACAGTACTAAGATTTCTATTTTTAAGAAGCTTTGTACAAGACTGATACTGAAAAATAATTTAATTTTATCTATTTCATTAAGGACTTTTTTCACTACCTTCATGAGGACCCGACATAAAATTATGTGGCAAATAGCTCACATTTAATTAATTAGTTTTATTTTCATTTTTTTGGTGCAAAGTGACTATGCAAACATTGTGAAGTAGGCTCTAAAAGTGTCAACGGTTTTCATACGGAGAAATATATTTTTTTATATTTCTATATACAAGACAAAAAAGGACAACACATAGAACATTTTACTTAGATTCTTATACAGACACCAGCACCCATCCTAATACACGTATCCAGTCAAACACTTAGTGCAATACACCAAAAAAATAAACACAGACACAATAAAAATTAGCGGCGACACGCAAACTGAATTAGGAGGGCTGTTCGTGCAATAAGAATAGCATACCAACAAACAACCGTATTTGTACACATAATTTAATATTGCGTGCATTCAATAGAGTGATAATCAAATGTGAATGCGTCAGTTTCCGACCAGTTTAGGGCCTACCGTTTCTATTACAAAACTAAACATTGTAAAGCTATATTGAGCTATGGAGGATACGACAATATTGATCTTAGAGGATATTTCACATCAATACTTTTTATAGGAAGATTTCGAGAATGATTTTGGGTTGTATTTGTTAAGTGAACACCATTATATTTAAGACTATACTAAGGTCAAGATCGGAGTGAATCACAGGGTGACATTTTAACTGAGGGACATAATTTTTCAAGGAGCCTATTCTAGCGCTTAAATAAAATGGAATATGGAAATCTCAAAAAAAAAAAAAATACATCACCATACAAAATGATCAATCAGCTGTTACGATGTATATGACGAAATAAATTTATTTTTGAGAGGAATAGTTGTTTTAATCTGGCTAACTATCGTTTTGTAACAAATTAAAGTCCCATTCCATCTCCGTACGTAAACTACATAATTCAAGGTTGCTACTAGGTGATGATACATATAAGTACATACATAGGTACCCATATCTATGTTTGTCAAACACAAATGCATAATGTAAGTAAATATAAAAGTACAAACAGGTCAGAAATAAGGTCGCCGCGACTAACGGCGATAAAAGAATCACATAGATAACCTTGAATTGGATTTTTGGCTTTTAGTAGAAGATAAATTAAAGAAAATGTGAAACTTAGTAATTTTTTTCTATACTAACATTATAAAGGGGTACAATTTGTAAGTTTGTATGTAAGGGGTAATCTTTGGAACCGCTTGTCGGATTTCCAAAATTCTTTCACTAATTGATAGCTACAATGTTCCCGAGTTCTATAGGATCTTTTGAGGAGAAGGGTTTCGAAGATTTATGGATTGGGAAAGGATGATTGGAGAAGAAGGATTCGGAGAAAATTGTAGTCATCTTTTCGCGAAAGAACTGTCTATTGGATCTGATCGAATTTGGCACGAATCTGAGCATCAAAACGAACAAAATTAAAAAAGTAGGTAACCATAGTCTAGAACGCAGGAGAAAAGAAACCGCTGTCAAAGCTAGTCCTAAGTAATAAAATGTTTAGGTCACACATCTATCGTAGTACATCATTTGGGTCATTCATAACACTGCAAATGGGCGTTCCAAATAAACTGATACTATTAATGATTGAACTAAGCGAATCGAGACATCGTCGGCACGACGTCAAACGAACTAGGTCAGTATTTATGATGTAGTTCTACGTCTAGACAAGAGCGATAAGATCATAGTACTATTTTTACGTAGTGTTGAACTTTCTACGAGTATAGCCTCGCTAAGATACATATAAAATGTTTGTTTACCAACCAAAAAGATAAGGTAATATTTGGCTGTACCAATTAAACATTTTCTATTGCAAAAAGGGTGTGCATATGCGAGCAGTGTGGGAATTAATAAGAAGTATTTTTTACCCTTTTGATTCGATTACTAACATTTCTCGTAGACCTTCTTAACAGTATAGTACTAGTTATGTGTACTGGCAATATCCGCTAGCTTACTAGCAGTTGTTGGATCTTAAAACATATGCGACTCAAACTCAGTGATGACGTGCTATTTTTTCTTATAATTTATTTGTTTAGTTTGTAGGTAATGCTATTCTTTCGCTAACCGAAATTAGTTACTATATTCAACCATAAAAAACTACAAATAAACACACTAACTAGAAAATTTAAGCATCTTAAGTTTTATCATAGAACAATCGAACTTTAAATCATTCAATACTTTTAAGATTTTTTTTTACATTTTCTATGACAAAACTTGATTTGCTAATGTGAGATTTATTTGCCCACCAGATGGCGCTAAATAGTCAACTTACTTTTAGTCCAATCACTGTAGGTGTCAAAGATTGAACGTCCAATAATACAACACTAGCTAATTTCTTATTGGACGAAAGACAAGAAGCTAACACTAGCGCCACGAGGTGAGCAAAAACACGGTAAACCATTGCGAGAACCATTGAGTTTACTAGAATAAGACACCACCATTAACTACATTAATTAATGTTATCTCAAACTACGATGTGTGTAAGATACTACGTATGTAGGTATGCAATCTGGCCGATTCGAATTTAGATTAGGTACTATCTTCTGTACAAAGGGTGACTCTGCTGAGGGTGATGCGATCCAGTTCCCCTTTTTCCTTCTATACGCTTTCAAATACTATTTAGCAGGTCTAATAGTCGCTTTATGTGAAATATCGAGTCATTGAAAATACGACAAAAAAGTTTTAGTAAGACCAAACCATAGTCGCACTGACTTTTCGTTTATGACGTTCAGCGCTTTGACTCGCTTAAACCAATCGGAGGAGTAACCGCGGCACGTTTTGATCACTTCAATATGAAGAAACCTTACACTAGGTACTCATAGGAACGAGATAGCATCTAAGTTTTGTATTATAACACGTAACTAATAGGTTTGAAATTGCCGTTTTGCATGAAAAATTTTTATCGAATTCTTTGATTTGAAATGCGATGAAAATGTAACACTAATCAATAAACAAATGACTACTTTTGGAATCTTTTTCCAAAAGTAGTCATTTGTTTCCATCCCATGTTTATAAACAAAATTAATTAGCCTTAGCCTAACAAAAACTATTTTGCTTTGAAATGGCCAGTACTGCAGAACGGCAATTTCATAGGTAAAGACCTATTATTCGAGAAGCCCAATCGACTATTTTCAACCCAAACTAATGGCTCAAATTTAGCAAGCTGTTAAACATAGTTCATTAACTTAACATCTAAGTAATAATCTAATTCAAATCAGTCACAGTGCATTATCCAGAGCCCAGTAGTTACTACGGTCATGCGACACCTAACATACTGACCTTTATATTCAGGAATGCAACCACTGGCTTGTGGTCGCTGACTGTGTAGTGAGCCATATGGTTATATGACACCACCTCAGCCTTCAGAGTCACATTCTCATAATTATTCGCGTTCACTTTGTATAGAATTCTATCTGTCCACGATGGCTTCCTCCTGAAATAAAGAAGAATTAAAGATAGTTAGTTTTATTTTTTATTTCACATAGTTATTTATAGCGTCTGTTTTGACACTTTTTTCTGCAAGCAATCTGCTCCGCTCATATACCGCAACACCATAGGAGTGGTTGGTTGCCGGCTTTTTGAGGATAAGGGGTATAGGGATTAGGTGCGGGGAAGGGAAGGATTGCGTCACCGGTAACCTGACACGCCGAAACACAACGCTACGGTTGTGTCACGCCTGTTTTCTGTGAGGCCGCGGTATCACTCCTTTCGAACCGACCCATTTACCTTCATATGAGTATTCGATAAATTTATGTGATAACGGTTCATTCAAATTAAGTTCCATATTCAAAATTATCTGGTCCATAAGAATACATTATTTGTTTATTCAATGGAAGGGCTGGTGTTGAATATCATGGTGGCTACTCAGAAATTATGAAACAGGCCGTTATAGATATAAGATAATACCTTTTTCATGGGTTGTGCCAATAATATCATAAATCAGTTATAACAAAAGTGTCTTATGTAATATGGAACAACTCTAGATTTTCGACTTATAAAATATAAGTAAAATCTAGAGTTGCCTAACTTAAAACCGTCACTGAAAATTTGCCAGTGTTTTACGCTTGCGACCATGCGACCAGCATGCTAAGATTAAGAAAGCAAGGCTGGAACAAATTATAACTTGCATGCCAATTTCTCCGTTTTACTTATTAACATAATCTGTTAATTATATTATTAGGTAAATACAAATACGTATAGGTACATTATCTCAGGTTCATTTCATTAAATTCATTACATCAACCGTATTAAGGTTCAATTCAGGTATATAATAAAATGTGTGTAATAAAAGTCTATAAACATCATTATTACATTATATCATCAGTATTACAAAAAAAGTTTGTGTGTAGTAAACACACAAACTTTTTTTAACTAGCCACTACACGGTTTCACCTCCCCTTCAGCTGAACGGCTGAATCCCAAATTCAAATGGACTATGCCATACTAAAATATTCTTTCTATTCGTACTTTCTGAGATTAGTGTGTACAAATGAATTCTTTAATTTTATAATATGACTATAAGTATAGATCGAATCTTAAAGAGTTAAAAAAATATGATCATAATCAACCCTTTAGCTATTGCTATGGTACTTTAGGACATTATAAAGACTAATTTCACATAGGACCAATCATTGTAAGAGTCAAAACTAGAATAGCCAATGATGTGACACTGGCTTATTCACTATTGGACGAATGGATGAGAGCTCCACACTAACGCCATCTAGTAAGATTTTAAGAGAACATGAGGTAGCTTCCATTGAAATTTGTACTTAATGAATAGCAACCGACTTAACCTCTATCAGGAATATGAACAAACTAATGAAAAATAGATTTTATACCTTTTTTTTTTACAATCCATCTACTTCCAACGTGACATAGATTTTAGAAGACATCCACATTGTTGAAAGTTCAATAAGGTACCGCGGCCTCGGCTTGGGGCAGGAGAGGGGTCGGGATGGTATTTAGTCAATAACGGCCTTATTACAAAACAAGGTTTTACTTTAGTCTAGGACTAAACCATTGAGCCAGTTTTCGTATTTCGAATTAAAGGTAGATGACAATAAGATTTAAAATTCAAAACCCGACTTAATGGTTTAAACCTGGACTAAAAATAAACCTTGTTTTGTAATAAGGGGGTAAGAGTCTGACAATCCCTGAGAGAAATTATTAAATAACTTTCTCAAAAACAAAAGACATTAGGTAAATTAAATCCATGAAGTTACGTACTTGATATCATATTCATCTCCTCCAATAATAAACTTATACGTCGGTGGGAATCGTATATCATGCTCCGTGAACTCTGAAAACGCTTCCCCGGAGTCCATTACTGCGATGAGTTGGTCATGAGCGAGAAGGGAGGCGTATTTATCCTTTTCTATCTTCTGTAATTGAGCAAGAATCTCTTCTGATGTCGGACTACTGCCCGCTGGATGGTCCGTACGGAAGTTCAGGTCGCCCAACCAGATGACGTAGCTGAAACGACGACGAGACGAGATGGACGAGATTTAAATTAATTTGTTAGGTGGACAATCTTTGGTATTTGTTATTAACCTTTTAATCGTGGTAATGAGAGACACAATAGTTTCCTTGGGGTTTAATGAATTAACACGACTTTTACATGTTCATTTATATTTAGCTGGTTAGACATACCAAACCTATTTAGATATGTTGGTTGGGTAAGATATGCGGAGGTCGAGGCGCCCGCTCCTCATGCATGGATTCGAAATTAGTAAAGTAAGTGTTAGGTATGTATATGTCCTTTCTAAGATTATTCAGACACCAATTACAAACGGTAGCAGAAAACATAGTGAGGAAACCTGGACCAATCTAAAATAATTTCTAATTATAAGTTAAAAATCGCCAATCTGCCTTAAGTGAGCGTTGTCAAAGTTGCTCAAACATTTTCGGCATGAGAGGAAGCTTTTGTTCAGCAGTGGGCACATACATATAGGCTGATGATAAGACACGTATGGTTATAGTATCAATTTTTGTGGTAGGTATTAAACTGTAGCTATTTTACGATTGGTTGCCATGTAACGGTGGGCAAAACCACAAATACTTATCTTAAAATGCATTAAAAAACGTGGAACTGTGACTAAATCGTGAACACTAGAACAGTTAGTGCAAATAAAACGCGCCACGTGACATAAAACTTAAGTACACAGATAAAGCCCACGCCTTCTTTCGTGGAAAAATCCAAAAGGGCTATAAAAGAAAAAAAATGACAATATTTTTCCTGCTAGATATTACGTAGGGAATTTTAAAATATACCTTGAATCACTATCAAACCCTATCAACGTTTATTTTATAATGTAGATACCTGATAACCAGCGTGCTATTTGGTTGTTTGTATTATCTATTTTATTAGAACATGATAAGAATTGATTTCAATTCAAAAACATCCACTGATTTTCTGATAACGTGTTCAATATATCTACGTTCCGCACAGGGATATCGGCAATTAATATGTGCTACTGTTTAGGTTTACACAAAATAGGATAATATAATTTTATCTAATGATGTAATAACAAATGAATTAACGTCAGCTTAATTATAATCGCCTTTATTTTTTCACACTTCAATGTACATAGACATAAAAAACTATGCCAGCTAGATATTTAAAAAAATAACGGGAACGTTTAAAACTTTGTTAAAGAATGGAGAAAAGCATGGAGATATGTATTTTTGCTCCCCAAAAAGTTAGTCTGTGGTGGGTTTTAATAATTAAACTTAATAACTAGTAGTAGGTGATGATGACAGAAACTAGATTTCTAAAGAATTTAATTTTATCGTCACGCAAGTCATAGATATAGATAGAGTCGATGATGAGTTTTATTTCGCTTAACACATCAATAGATTTTTATCATTTACTGAGAAAAAATATACTTCACGTTTTTATCTTCACGACATAAATACATATAACATAAGTTCTAAAAAAAAACTCTCAAAGTGGCTTTTTTAGGCTTGAAAATGAAGATAATATGTCATATTGGCAATGCACTACACATTTTTTTAACGAAACTTCATTTATAAATACATTAAAATGCTGGGTTACGACTACATGCATAAGTAATTACTATAATTTTGACTATTCTCGTTTTGGACAAGGCAATCGATGCCAGCATATTATCCTACAACTCTAGATATTGGATGCCAACCAACCCCCATACATTTTATGCAATCCGAAAATCACAATCTATCAAAATTCTTGTTTATCGCAAATCAAGCCCATTACGTTAGTGGACCCAAAACCATAAGGATAATCAGGATGATAGACATAAATAAATATCTAAAAGGTAATTAAAACATACAAATACTTACTCATGGTATAATATGTTGGTGGTCTCGGTGACATGGTACATGTGCTGTTTTATGATAGTGTTGTAATCATTGATGCGATCGGCCAACAAATGCTCGTGAGCAGTCAGGTGGGAATTCACAAGGCACACAGATACCCCGTATATGTTGAACCTTATACTAACGGCGCCTTTGTTGCCCTGAAACAATTCAGTTTTATAACTAAGTGCTACTAGTTATTTTTTTCATGTAAAGATTGTTTTAGAAGATCAAGAAATACGAAATTAACGCAGAATTGTCTTGGGGACTGTTCTGTTGACTGTTGCCTCCGCTGTTCTCTTCTCTATCTGTATGCCTGTCACCCGGCTATTAATTTTCAATATAGAGATGGTTGAGGTATTTTAGAAGCCATTAGACCACTACAGGACGTCCCTTCCTAATGCGGATGTCTAGCCAGGTAGGCAGCAAGCGCATTAAGGTCCCGGCCAGGAGCACCAGAATGGATGGTTTTAAGTCATTGAGAGTCAGACATTACTCTGAGCCACTCTCCCTACCCAAGGCAGCAGAAGTCAATCGATAATTTTTCATTCTCCAAAACAAGGGATATTTTAGGAGACTGTCGTACGACATTCTAGGGGAACTGTCTTGTGTACTCTTTTTAGGGTTCCATACCTAAAGAGTAAAAAGAGAACTTGTATAAGACTCCGCTGTTCTGCCTTGTATGCCTGTCTGTCAACAGCCTGTCTCATGAACCGTGATAGCAGAAAAGTTGAAATTTTGACAGATGTTGTATAGGTAGGTACCTACTCGTATTTCACCTTATTTCTTTTGTTTAATAAATAGTGAAACAATAAAATACCTACATGCGGAATTATAAAAAAATATTGAACTATAATCTTGTCCTTCAATTGGTTTATTTACCCAATAACAATCTAGTGATATGATCTTTTCCGATATTTACAACTTATCACACAGTGATAAACTCATAGGCACGACAACGGTAACGTATACGTCAAGAATCCCCTAAAGAATTTACGTAAAAACAAGAAAAAAACTGATACACGACTATGACCTTTATAGGACACAAAATTAAAACCAAAAGGCGAAGATTGTGTTACGATCGTACGTCTTTTTAGTAATTCGAAAAATGCGTATTTGATCAAGGTATCAACACAATAAATGACTATTGTTATGTTACATTATATTCATTTTTTATGACATAAATCATGACGTTGGTGTTGTGATCAAAGGTTTATGATAATTAGGTACCTACGATCTCTGGAAAGTTTACTTTTTATAATAACGCTTACGCTTAGAAGCGGTTACATAATGGAGCGGGTTTACTGGTATAGGCTGGGCTAGCGGGTACCCATTACCTGCACTCGAATAAGATATGATGTAGTGATAATATTCACTACAGAGTAGGTGTATAAAGAGTCGAATTCTTTGTCCCTATATCCCTATGTATGCTTAAATCTTTAAAACTACGCAACGGATTTGGATGCAGTTTTTTTTAATAAATAGAGTGATCTTCGCTATAAAGAAAGGGATATACATATGTGTAATTAATCATTTATTATTCTATTTCACTATTACCTAATATAAGAATTAAAAAATATAAATTAATCAAAGACTTAAACATTTATTCAAATAATGAAAAAAAACGATACGTAATTTTACTTAATACTCTATTCTATACTCTAGTATCCGAGTTATACGCAGCCTCGCACTGGCCACTCGACAGCTTACTTCAAATTGAGGGCAAACACATATCTAAAGCCATGATAACGAAATGTACATATCTACTAACGAAAAGCCCCATCGATTATGCTTAATAGAAAATAGAATCATATCATTAGTTAAGGAAATAAATATCTAAATGCAATAAATATATAAATAAGTATTTAAAAACCCTGATATTATTATATGAAATACTAGCTACTCGCGCGCCGGTTTCACCCGCTGCTCGGCTCCATTTAATCATAGTGTGATAAATTATTTATTTGAAATAATAATCTGGAGATGAAAAATTCTAATTATCCATTACAATTATTATTATTAAATTAAAGGTATTAACAAAATTAGGTAAATCCAAGTCCCTAGAAAGTCAAGTACATTTTTCCAAATAAACACAGCACACTTTTTAAGAAACATGTCATGCTGTAACTGTGTCGTAATTGTAAGAACAGCTATTAGTAAGTATGAGTTCCATTCTACATGTTCATTTAATTACGAAGATTTGTGTGAGTAATAATTGACGAATGGAAAGTCCCTGGTTAAGAACGAGCAGTATTTACCAGGAATACAGGCCTATGTGACATAGTCAGAAATATTTTGCCTTCTTGCAATGTCATGCAACCTTGGTTAAGGGTATTTTGACTGGGGAAACTTATTACATTATGGCTTCCCTTGCCATCGGTGGCGTGCGAGGGAATAACGAACTCTTACTGACTAAAAAAACTACCCCATTCCTTCTCCTGATCAAGGCCAGGGACATGGTAAATCACTGCGCTTGACCGTTAGAGAAGTGTTAATGAGTGAATAATAAGCTATTAGAATAGATTATAAATGACATTGACCTGATGCAACCCTAAAACTCTACTCTACTTTTTTTTTATTCAAATTATAGATTAATTAGTTCGTTTATCTAGTTCAGAGCATAGATTTTTTGCATACATGCATACAATCATATTATAGAGTCCATTTTGTAGAAAAACAAACAAAGAAATATGATGAATAACATAATATAAATGGATTATAAATGACATTGACCTGAATGCAACTCTGACTTACACCTCCATAACTTAATGTTCAATTATACTTATAATCCATTATTTTTTTAATGTTGTATTCAAATTATAGATTAATTAGTTCGTTTATCTAGTTCAGAGCATAGATTTTTCGCATACATGCATACACATATATTATAAAGACCCTTTTGTAGGAAAACAAACAAAGAAATATGGTGAAAACCATAATATATGCCATGGTATTAGTTTAAAAATGTGACATATAGTTGAGAAAGTCAGATAGCGATAATAATGTGTACTGATGTAATATATAAGTGCATTACATAGAAATAAAGTTACTTAGATCAATTCACTCACCCACATTCCTCCCAGTCCAGTCTTTGTATACTGGGCCTCAATGTCTCTCAAATGTGTGACATGCTTCATCTGAGAGTACACTAACAGGAGTATTCCTTGTAGCCTGGTACTCTTGGCAATAATAAACCCTTGCCGACAAAGTATTTTGTTAAAAGAGGATGTCCATGCATCCGTAAACAAGGAGTCCATAACCAAATTTTGTGGCTGAGATTTTACTTCTTGCAGTCTGTAATAAAATTAAAAAAGTTAAAATGGCATTAAAAATTTGCATTAGTGTCAATGTTTATTTTGTTGTTCTTGCATGAAAATAAAAAAGTTTTGATAATTTACTAATACAAATGCAAAGACATTTAAAAAATTGTTATTTTGTTTATTTTATCATGAATTTATGTTATCAATATACATGTATATTACCTAATATAATCCAGTTTATCGACTATGTTTTGGTAAAATATTTATTGTGTTATATTTTTACATTTGATATTAAATAAATCTTAAATACATATATATCTGATTAAAATCAGGTTTTATTTAATGCATTATAACAATAAATTTAAAAAAGAAAGACATACTCTGTGTAACAACATCTTAATATATTCTTAACCTTCACTTCTATTGCAAAATAAATATAATAATGATAAAAAATGTTACTGTGTCGTAATTTTATGATAATAGTGTTTTTGTGTTGATATTAACTATAAGATGTACCTATAACATATTGATGACATCACTTTTCATATAAGGTGTTAAAATTTTATGCTATTCAATATTTAACAGTCAAAAGTACTTGTGATTGGTAATAACTAAATCTCTGATAAAACAACAACATAATAATAATACATTGTTGTTTCAGAGATAAATGTAATATTTAGATTAGGAAATATATTTCCTTATACATAGCTGATTCAACCTACTATTTAACTATCACAATTTATTATCTGATTTAATGATAATTTTATACAAATATTCCATTACTCAACACTAAGTAGGTCACTAAATTAAAATAAAAAAAAAATATTATTAAAAAAAATTATACCAAAAAATATATTTTAAAATTGGAAAAACCATAATGATACTTTTTGACTGATTATTCTTAATATTTTTTTAATCTTATTCAGAAATAAAAGAGTGATTAAAGATAAATAAAAAACAGAATAAACATTAATACTTTAGATCTGGCAATGTATCACATTGACCCAGAAAATAAGTAGGATACAAGCACACATTATGCAAGAACATAACTCATGAACTACATAACTACTTACCCAATCACAAAAAAGTCTGGTAATGGTTTGTTTTTATTAAACTGTGATGGGAAATCCAATAGGGCATTTAAATCCTGCCCTGGATTCTTGGTAGCCACATTCCAGGTGACAAAATAAAATCTGAAATAAGCATAATTCATAATTAATTAGTGTAACCATGAAAAGTCAAGAATAACAAACGCTTAACCTTGACTCCTTATGACGCAAATCTGCTAGTACTTAGTAAAAACCCTATACCTTGATGCATAGGTACATAACAACACGAATACTGTACTCACTTTAAGGTATCCATTTTCTTTTTTTCCCAACTACGTTGTCACTATCCTTAGGATACCTGGTATCTATAAACTAACACCAAAAGATAAAAACGCACTTCAGGTATAGATAGATAAGATAGGATTCGAATAAATTAATTAGGTATAATTCAGAGTAATTAAATATTACACCATATTGATACACTTAAAATTTCTCCTTGATTTTAGGCATATAAATACACTATTATTTTAATTAATATGTTTATAAATAAAGAATTGATTATTTTCTTGTTTTTATTTCACTCCCACGAAACATCTCCAACCAAGGGCAAAGAAATGACTGACAGAATGACAGAAGAAACAACTGTCAATGCATTCAATGTCTTGTTTAGCGAATGTCAAATTGACAATTATTGTCACAGGTAATCAATAATTGAACGAATGAAAAATAATTATATAAAAGAAAAAGTATTCGATTATTAATTTAGCTTTTAGTGGTAACTGAAAAAAAAGCGCCACCTTCGACTAGCCCTTGATTCTAAAATAAGTAAAGTTCAAATCATTATTAAACAAGGGTTGAATGACACGTGTACATACAAAAGTTGCAGACACGATAACACTGCCTACAATAAATGTATTGTTTTCTTAGAGAACCATGAAATAATTATTCGATTTCCTTGAAAGTTTAGTTAGACTTTTCGATCGCAATGTTTCCGTACTACGACGAATTCAGTAATTTGGTGAAATTCCTTCCAATTTGGTTTATCCTGAACGCAACTTATAAATGGCGGGAAACGTTTCTGTCAAAATCGAAAGTTGCTGTCATTAGTGTCAAATAACTTTGGGAGTCGCGCAATGCGTATGATTTGTTTTGTGAGCTGGTAAATAAACTAAATAGCTAACTGTTATATATCATCACTGCAGTTTTTTGAAAATAATTGCAGTTCAACTGCTAGAACCGTCAGTATTATCAAGCATCATCATGAGTACTCAAGAACAACAGGTAAGTGAAAATTTGACGTTATGTATGGCGTTCGTTTCGTTAGTTAGTTAACTATAAGCTTACAAACGAGGGTTTATGAACAATATTTGTTTCAAATAAGCCTTCTATTTGATATTATAATATATCTTTTATTTCTTAAGGAGATGTCGAGAGTCACGAGGAAATCTCTCAAAACACTTCAACATACAGCTTCGGATCGGGAAAACTTAGTGGGTAGGCCATCAAAAAGTTTGAAGCATCAACTGAGTCAGGAGTCCCCTGTGTCTGTGTACGTATATTTTTTATTACGTAACATTGTATGAGTCGTCGACTGAAAGTAATTATTCCATTTGCTTTGATTCCAGGGATGTTGAGGTTAAAAGGAAGAACTTGTCTACCAAAGAAACTCAAGCAAACTTAGATACAACAATAACTGTTGATGATTTGACAAATCCTGAAGGTCCATCAGAAAAGTACTGGCAACTTCTTGCTGAGAAGCGTCAGTGAGTATATTTAATACTTCTTATTAGAAAGGCCTTCATAATCTAGTGAAGTTAATTTGTTCTCAAAAGTTTTGATTAGACACTGCTATACATGTTAAATTCACTTGTATAGTATAACGAATAAGTATAGTAAAATTATTAAGATTTTTATATTATTCAATTCCAGAGTTGCTTTACAAGAAGCATTAGATGAAAATGAGAAATTGAGAAAAATCATTGAAGATCTGAAGGAAGAGAATGCTGTTTTCAAACAGATGCTGGAAGAGGCTAACAGCTTTGTTGAAGTTATCAAGGTAAGTTACATTATGGAAAATAAGTCCCATCTTGTTTTAGCCAGTAGTAGTTGGTTTCTGCAGAAGAGTCGGATAAATTGGAACTATTTGTTTTTATGAATTTGACTATGTGGTTTAGTGAAGCCATGATCCGAAAAAAGTCTTTCACTTTAAATAATAGCATTAAAAAATGGCTAAACCCATGAATGGTATGCCAGAATATAGATCTAAGCAAGACACAGTGGATTTTGCATTGTGTTTCATATCACAGACATGATGTTAACTGGCTCAAGGGCTTCATCATCAAAAACTATAACAAAATTCTACATATCATTTACCTAATCACTATTTTTATGTTAATTACTACTCACTATTTTTATTTCAGGAGGAACTGGCCAATACCTCGAACAATGACACTGGCATTGATGTCAATGATGTCAGCACTGCAGATGAAACTACTGATGATGTGGATACCAAGACTGACAACTAATAATAGAGTACTATTGATATAGGTCAGGGATAGCAAACCTATCATGTAATTTAATATTTTGATCATATCAGCACTGGATCACAAAACATAAAGCCAAATTCACTTGTAATGTCTCTGAAGTTGCAGGTTTTGCTGATGTACTTAAGCTATGGTATCCATCAGCAAAGCAGCTTGTAAGATGTATAGCTACCAGACCTATGATTGCTACTAATTTGAAACATTAATAACCACAAAAACCTTTATTTACAAATATTGTTAAAGGTTCATCATTCCTGACCTGTATCCTAGTTTCTATCATGAGAACTTCATGCCAAATGTTTTTCTTATATCATTAGCCAATAATAATTATTGTAAAACATAATATGTCCAATGAACTTAATCATAATGTTGGTTAATGCTAGCATAGTGTGGATAATGTTTGTAATTTTCCTAGTATTTTTTGTGTGAAACCTAGACTTCAACTAACCTGTCTTAATGTTATGCAATGACTAATACATTAGGTGGCATATGCATTGCTTCATTAATTTATTACATTAAATTTGAACACTTAATTCTAATACAAGATCAAACAGCAACAGTGGTTTTTCCTTGTTTTATCTTTTGATTTTTTGCTACAATTTACATTTCATTATTTTATTTGAGTTTAAAGGTTCAATCTTATCAATAAAAATTTCGTTTCCTATAATTTGTGATTTTCTTTTTGTTTGTACTGTGTATTGTAAGGAGAAAACCATTATTAAACTTTAATTTCTAAAGGATATAAATATTTATTTGATTTCATTTATACAACATTATCAGGTACAATAATTACTACTCAAATATTGTACTATAGCCAGAGGCGGCGTAAGGCATGGGCAATTTTTTATCTTTCGTTTTCAGGTTGCTACAGAAAAGGGCCTCGCTAAATCTGTCTTGCCCACATTTAAATGAGGTCTTACCCCGCCACTAACTATAGCACCCCAATAATTTATTTATTCATGTATGTACAAATAGTGAATATAAAAAATAAATGTTAAGGCACAACTATCAATATTTATTGTTGTTGAAATTTTAAGAAAGCTTGAAACTGTGCATCGAAATTAGTCTCATATGTCCATGGCATTAGGTCGGGATACATTGTGATTTGCCTAAATAGATCAACATTAGCATTTTGTGGCAATACACTCCTCACTTTTTTGTTGAGGCACCCTGAAGCATGAATGTAGTTATTTACAATAAGGTTATAAATAAAATTAACATATTTATGGTCTAAATTATCAGAAGTGTTAGGAACAGTTGGATTGTGGGACTTGATTTCTTCCAAGTAACCAGGAGTAATAATGGGTATGATGATATCCGCCTGTAAATGAAATAAAAATAAAATCATTAACTATATCAACACACTAGCTACTCAAGCGCGGTTTCATCTGCTGCATGGCTCTTTCAGATTTTTGCGTGATGTTTTATAGCCTAAAGCTTTTCTCAATAAATGGTCTATTAAAGAAGTTCCTGAGATTAGCGCATTCAAACAAACAAACAAACTCTTCAGCTTTATAATTATATTATAAAATACCTGTATAGATTATTACTTAAGTGTGTGATCATTAGATCTACATAGGTACTCACTTTTTCGAAATATTCCCTAATAAATTTCTCTGGATTTTGATACAATTCTTCCCTCTTGTTGTTCAAAGTGATGACTTGAACATTTGGTATCTCAGTCCAGTTTTCAACATATTCTTGTATATTCACTGCAGTTGGAAATCCATCTTGAGTGTAAGTAAGGAAAAAAATTGGGGTATCATTAACTATAGGCTCATTTGGTGTTGAAGGTATCTTCAAAGCTGGTTGCTTTGGTTTCTTAGGTTCCTTATCTTGAGAGACCACCTTGTTGCTGAGAGCTGCTGGTAAATTATTGGGAATATTTTTTGGTCTAACAACTTCCCTTTGACCTGAGCTTTTGCTTTGATAACCACTATCATCCTTATTGAAAAATTGAGCTATTTTGCAAAGTGGTTCTTCCATTGATTTTAAAATATCATACCGCTTCATCTTAATGAAAGCATCTATGATTTTGTCAATTGTTGCATTCTCATTTTGTCTGAATACTTTTAACACCATGTCAACATGGTCCTCTTGGACTGAGTACATTATATACTGGAAAAAAAGTTTGAATTATTATGACAATAAACAATAAGAGTAAATTTGAAAGTTAAATTACAAGGTTTTAGAATTGAAATCTCACATTTAGTTTATTAGGTTCAATTCCTAAATGAAGGCCAAGTTCTCGCCATGCATTGGGACTCCCACCCACTTGGGTTAGTATCCTTTTCCATAGCTCGTAACATGAAGAACCCATCGCAGAAGTTGCGTGTCGATAGTATAACAAATCAGCATGAAGATTACAAGTTTTTTTGCTCAAAGAATGCAATTCCGTTATCTCTTTAGTCCTTTCCTGCTTTACCATTTCCTCTAGAACTAGCGTGTCAATAGTGATAGTATCAGGATCAGGATCAGGATACATGTTTTCGGTTTCCCTGTAAAAGTTATTATTTGGTAAATATGATAAATTTAATTATGTTTAGGGTGTAACCAAATATCATATCATTTTGATTAAAACTTACATATTTTTATACTATTTCCGTTTAATTTTGTAGCTACCTAAATCAATTGAAAGCACTTTTAATACTTAAATGGATAATATAATGTCACCAGTCACATCAAAGTTCAAAATAAAGTTTATGAGGAAAAAGTCACCAAAACTATTGTTGTCAATTTTGTTCATCGATCGAACTTCCTCGTAATCTCGTATTTTGACTGACTGTAATTTGACAGTGACAAACAGTGAAAGATGAATGAGTTCTCTATGACTGCGTATGCGCAATATAGATAATGAAGAATATTAAACTAATGGTAACCATATGAATACATAAATTGGATGACAAAGTAAAAGCTAATTTTACGAAATAACATGTTATCAATAAACGGTAAAACGGGGTGAATAGAATTCGAGGTGTGTATAGAGACAGAAGACGGGTAAATAGATACAAGGAAAATTCACCAACATCTATTCACCCCTTTCGTGTATCTCTTCACCCTTCAAATTTTATTCACCCCTTCCAAAACCTTTTTTTTTTCAGAATATTCAAGCTCACACACGTCTTAGCTGAATATTATTTATTGTATGTGTTATTTTGTCTTTATTTTGAAGTCGCCATTTGCCATCTTTTTTATTGTGGCACAAGGCTTTAGATCTGTTTATACTCTTTGGTGGCATTGTCACTTTAGACAGGTTAATGTTTTGGCGGGATTTATAAAAGTTTTTTGTTTAAATGTGAAAAAAGTACCTAACACAAAACATTGATATTTAATATCATTGTTTTCACAATGACTAACACTCTGTAAGTTGAGTCCTCTATTTATTTAATTTTCGTACTAAATGTTAGTTTATGTTATAATACTTATTTTTTTCAGTGAAAGCTTTACAGATGTTCTGGGCGATGAAATTGGTAACTCCCAACCGTTATCATTGCCGTCATCGGCAGAAAGCCAAGGATTCCCTCAGTCTGTGAATAATCCAATTGAAACCACGAGTACTGGAATTACGGAACGACCAGCTAAGTGTACTGGGCAACGTGGACAATTCAGGAGTGTAGAGGAGATAGGTAGGTCTAAGTTTCCTATTTGACTTTGTAAATTGTTATATTTTTTCTAATACCGATTTAAGTATCTGGACTCTTAATATACAAGGTTTATTACTGTGGATAAGGCTAAATCCTTATTAGTAGCATTATTTAGTAGCCCTATAGCCCTATTAGCCTTAGTAGCCTTATTCATTAAGTAGTCGTCTAAGTAGTCACAGAATTTCAATAACTTATGTACCTACCAAATATGTGTTTGCAGACCCGAAATACAGAGACGTGTTTTCATATCCATATTTCAACTTAGTGCAATCTAGAGTTATAGAAGACGCACTATATTCAGGTAAGTAAAATATTGCATACGTATACTTTTTATATTGTTTAACCTTTTTACATTACGCGATGATTATCTTTTAGAGGTATGAGGAACAGGGTGGTAAGTTCCTCATCCTCCATTGAAAAGGGAGGATCCTCCGACCAGGCGAGGTGTTCGTGCCTGGTGGGCTACTGCCCGACGGTTGTTGTCGGGATATTTGTATGGGTGCTAATTGTGTGGAAAACTCTTATAGCGCGATGTAGATTCTTGCTCGTGATTGGTGCTGTTGTTTATAGATGTCGCTACATCACTCCCCTCCGAGACCGGAGGTCGTTAGCTGGTTGAGACGTCTGTGAGATGCTTATCGAGCCAGTTGATGGTTTCAGTGCGTCGAATCTGTCTGCGAAGATGCCCCAGTGAGTCGGGTGGTGCAGTGCTGAAGAGTGGCTAGCTGCTGCGTCGACCAGGAGAGGGAGTACGTCTCTGCTAGCTGACCGGCCGCTGCAGTACGCTGTGCCGAAATTCTGATGAGGCTGTAGGTGTTGAAGAGTGGCTAGCTGCTGCGTCGACCAGGAGAGGGAGTACGTCTCTGCTTGCTGACCGGCCGGTGCAGTATGCTGTGCCGAAGTTGCTGATGAGGCTGTAGGTGCTGACCAGGAATGCGCATTGGCTGCATGCTGGTGGTCAGGGAACCCGTTGTAGCCGTGGAAGCTGCTGACTGTAGGATTCGCTGCTTGAAAGCTCCAGGAAGTGATGACGTCATGGCTATGAAGTAGTTGCACGAAGGCTGCTTGATGTTCATGTTCGGGGTCACCAGTTTTAGAGGTATGAGGAACAGGGTGGAAAGTTCCTCATCCTCCATTGAAAAGGGAGGATCCTCCGACCAGGCGAGGTGTTCGTGCCTGGCGGGCTACTGCCCGACGGTTGTTGTCGGGATATTTGTATGGGTGCTAATTGTGTGGAAAACTCTTATAGCGCGATGTAGATTCTTGCTCGTGATTGGTGCTGTTGTTTATAGATGTCGCTACAATCTTTTACAATAATACAATCATTTAAAAAAAACTTTTATGATTCGAAGAGAATGTTAGAATAGTTAAGTAACTCAAACTAAAGTCAAAGTTTCTACTTGGGCCGATGTCCAGCCTGATAGATAGATAACTATATCATCATCTCAATGAAACATAAAAAAATTAGCGCTTGTTTCACGACCTTCTTATACCTACTTACTTATTATAAAGTTATTTATAGAAATATGTAGCATATAGTGGAAATAAACTTTCTATATTCAAATATCTGATATCTACATATTCTACATATTGGCTATGCAGTTACTGATACAGGAGTCTAGGCGCCTAAGTCTTTGTGTTATATTTTAGACAAGTCCATAGTCGTATGTGCTCCGACTGGATCCGGGAAAACGGTTGTGTTTGAAATGGCCATAGTGCAGCTCTTGATGGAACTCGAAGACAAAAAGTACACTGAAGATTTCAAAATTATTTACAGTAAGTGGCACTAATTCACTTTTAACATACGTTTAGCTTTATCATTTTTCATCAAAGTATGTAGGTACTATATTAATTAACATAATTACCTAGCCCTGTTTTGTACTTGTTTTGATTATTTGTGAAGATCTAGGCAAATTTCAACGAGAATGTAATTATTTTGCTATGGCCTCAATTCCTAAAAATTCTTACCTCAACTGAACTGTCAAAAGTCTAGTTTAACTAACTAAAATTTACGCATAACGTCGATAAGCTAATACTTTATTCACAGGCGTCTTAGTAATATTTTAATACCACACACATCATTTCTATGTGTTCTTATGAAATAGATAAATAAAAAAATAGTTGCAGATGATATTAACGCCGGCGTTCGCTTAATGTTTGGTGAATTATTATTATTAGAATAGAAGAACAACAAGGTTGTTCTTCTATTGCGTCTCGAATTACCACGATTGAAAGATTAAAGACTATTTTTCAGTGGCACCAGTGAAAGCGTTGTGCACAGAAAGATTGACGGAATGGTACTCAAAGTTCACGAAACTTGGTTTGATGTGTATCGAAGTTACTGGCGACACTGACGTTGACTTCACGCAATTAAAACCTTACAAGTAAGTTTCCCTCTAAGGTCTCTGAAGTTAGGTACTTACTTTACATAATACGTATTGTATTGTTGAATTTTGCCGAAAAAAAACTCGTTCTTTTTTTTGAAGTCTCTTAAAAATCACAAAAGGAAGGTTCTTTTTTTTCATAAAAAATCACTCGACGCCTATACACGCTAGCGTGATGAGTGGACAGTGTGTGATTATTTCTCCCAGCCTCTCCCGAAGAATTTTGGGCTGAGGATAATTGTTATACACGGACTCTTTAGGGAAAGAATTGAGTTTCCGATACCTTTAATCACATCGCGAAATAAAACGCAAACGTTGTGTTCCGTGAGGCCGTAGTATGTATGAGTATAACTCCTAGCCGGTCCATTTGTATCGAAGTACGGCTCTTTACACTTTACTTATAAAATAAAAGCTATCCGCCCCGGCTTCGCACGGGTGCAATGCTGATAACATATTTCTCCACCATGTAATGGATGTTATTATACATTTGCCATCCTCTTCAATCACAAAATCTATTAGAACAACCGCATCTAAATCCGTTGCATAGACTTGAAGATTTAGGGACAGAAAAAGCGACTTTGTTTTATACTACGTAGTGATAGAATCCCTTTAGAAACCTAGCTACTTTACTTAACAACAGAATAATAATAACGACTCCTGAGAAGTGGGACATGTTGACGCGTCGGTGGCGGGACCACCGATGTTTGGTCGAGGTGATCAAGTTGTTCCTGATCGATGAGGTTCACATACTGAATGATGAGACAAGAGGACCAGTGCTTGAAGCCGTTGTTAGCAGAATGAAGACTATTGAAGTAAGATTTGATTACCTACCTCCTTTCTGATTGATTGTTAGTTTTTATAAAATCAAATTATGGTTAACACCCATCCATGGATCATGGTTTGGGTTATTATACCTATATGCCTTGAATCTAAATTAGAGAAGATTCAATCTAAGATAGATTCGTGCTTATTTTGGAATTCATGTTTACTTTCTTTATAATATAATTCGTGGTTAAAATTTCATGTCAAAAGTTCAAACATTTTTTTTGTAGTTTCGTAATAGTTCGATTTTCGACAATATAGATAAATGTATTTAATTGTGTCTTTGTACAAACCAACACACACTGTTACAACAAAACACACAAACAACAATGTTGACCCATGACACAGGAGTTCTTTTTGATATGGTTTCACTGATCACAACCTTAAGCAAACAACTTCGTGTTGATTAATACTCACCATAAATTAATGTTTAAAAACCTCACTATCATTCATCCAGAGTTCAGCCCAATCAGTCCACCGTATAGAACAACTGCAGAAGGAAATACAAGGCGAAACAGCATCTAACAAATCAGCTCCAAGAATTAGGTTCGTCGCCGTATCAGCTACTGTCAGCAACCCTGAAGACGTCGCCACTTGGCTGGGAACTAGTGATAAGCCTGCTGTGTTTTATAAGTAAGGAGAACTACTTACATATTTTTCCTGTTGATTTTGAACGGTTTGTTGTTGGTAGTAGTTTTAAGTCTGAATATAAGCACATATCCATAAAAAGGGTTGCATAACCTCGGTTTTATCTAATTTTGACCTCTTATAGGGTCCTTCAGAAGATTTTTCCATATAGTCTTTACTAGATCTATACAATAGACCAACTTTGTACTTACTTACTACATAAGGTTTATTCATTCCTGACAGACATGAAAGTGCGAATTAAGATAAAGAATATTTTTCTGGGATAGGCCGGCAAACAAGCAGACATGTTACCTGATGGTAAGCAATCCGTAACGCCCATGAACACCGAGTGATTCAACAACGAGTGCGTTGTCCACCTTTTAGGGATAAGGGTTTCAGATATTTAAGGATTGGGAAGGGATAGAGGAGGAGGGTTTGGGCCTCCGGTAACCTCAATTACACGGCGAAACAACGCTGTGGTTGTATCACGCCGGATTTCTGTGAGGCCGTGTTATCACTCCGGTCTAGCTGACCCGTCCGATTCGTGCCGAAGACATAGTTGTAACTTAGAGTGGTCTCTGACTAAAACCTCTTCAATCTCAGGTTCGGAGACGAATGTCGTCCCGTAAAGTTGAAACGTATAGTGGAAGGGTACCCGTGCGCTGAAGGCACAAGTATATTCAAGTTCGATATCATACTTAATTACAAACTGTGGCCCATCATACAGAAATACCATTGTGGCAAGCCTACTCTGGTAAGTTTATTACATCTACATATATTAATTGCATATTTAACGGGTTATTTACGTAAATATTTAACAAGAGGACCCGATTAGTTTCTCACCTTATCAGTCTAGCCTCACTCACAAACTAAATCCTTAACTGTATTTATACGGTGAAACAATTATCTTGCACTCTTGGGTTTTATATGAGGCCGTGGTGTCACTCTGGTCGGGACAGCCCACTTAGACTTATGTATTTTTTTAATATGAATATGGTGGGGATGTGCATCGGGTATAGGATCATACCAGTACTGCATAGGCGTACTTATCTGCATTGAACAATTTAATATAAGCGGATCTTCCTAAAGTCGTTCCAGAACATTACTCCCAAACACCATGGTCATGTAGGTAATTAACGATCTAATTATTTACATAATTGACGCAATCCCTTCACAAAGGTAAACTAACTTTGACTTTGAATATTGACGCAATACCTATTAACTTTATATAGAATATAGATACAGTGAGAGAGAAATTAAACTGAATCTGTTTCAAATTATTCTATGTAGGATTGTTAACTATGTGAAAGAACGAATGTGGCCCTAAAATCACCCTGGTTCGTCAGTACCCGTGTAATATGATGTATCTCGGCTAGTCGAGCTGATAAGGTCCATTATTACATTGCTTGAATATGGCGTAAAAAAAGAACCACTTGCAAATTAGTTCTATCAGCATCTTGACGTCGCTCACTGTTGATGAATAAAAGTCCCCCTGTGACTCGTTGTCTTTTCTTCTTCATCATCAATTGGCATAACTCAACAACGCCTGGGCCAATTTTGCTAATTCTTTTTTTGTTGTGTTTTTTATTGTCAGGAGAAGGTTGTTATCAAAGAAAATATTAGCAAAGCAAGTAGAGGGGAAGATTAGGAAAAAGTGACGAGATAGTTGGACCGCTAGTTTTCTATAAATTTTATATTGAGATAGATGGAGCTTAGGTAGGAATTTACAAGTACCTATAGCTTAATTACACCACAATACTTTATATGACATTGTTCTGGGAAACTGTAGACTGTAGGTAGCTTGGTTCCATAGTTTGTAAGGACCATAGGCATGTACGTGTATACTTTTTCCAAAAGTTTGTAGGTATCTATCTCATTTCATATTGTACTCCTCACAGATATTCTGCAATACTCGTAAGAGCGTAATATTGACGGCGGAGACTCTGTCCCGCGAATTAACAATTAGCTTCAACGCGGAACAAAAGGCGAAGCTTACTGCACTAGCTTCTACAATTAAGAACAAGACATTACAGGTAAATTAAAATTAAAATAAGCTTTATAATTATTAACTTGTGTGGATTATGCAACAGTTGCTTTACAGGCTAAGAAAGGAGTGGGTAGATTTTAGGGATTAGTGTTTGGGTTAAATCCCTAATTTGAGTTATGCCTCTTCTGGTCTATCTAGGGCCTAGGGGTTGACTGAAACACGGTGTTCGGATACTGGACGTAAACCCCAGTGACAACTTTTCACTCTGACCAGTGCGCAATAACTGCCCGTTCCTTGCGTGCCTCACGCTCTCATACGTTTTTGCTTGCGTTGCACTCTGCCATACATACTGAGGCTGACGACTCATCCGACTAGGTATCATGGTGCTTTATTCTGTTTTAATTCTCAGAGATGAATTCTAGCCCTCCTAACTTGACAACATAATTGGCGAAACGTACCCCCTCATATGTACGTATTTCCCGCTGAGATTTTTTTTTGTTGAGTCGTCTCTCAATGTTAATTCTTTGAACGCCATCGGGGACAATCTGTGGGCTATGCTATCGAAGGATTTGCCTTCAACTATAATCTGTTGGCAGTCAACGACTTAAAATTATGTTTTTAAAATAAATTGTGTAGGTAAAGGATAAATTTTTGTGCTTTTCAGAGTTTCAATTAACTTCAATAACAACTTTGTTTTCATAGGCCCTGATAATGAGCGGTGTTGGGTGTCATCACGCGGGCTTGTTATACGAAGAGCGACAGAACATTGAGTTCGCCTTTAGGAATAGAGATTTACCGATATTAATCACTACTACTACTTTGGGTAAGTTTTGTTTCAGATTTGTGTTAAAGATGTAGTAAATGTGGGGGATCTATATTTCGGTAAGATTGGCTTGGCTCGACCGGACTGTACAACAATCTGACAGAAAACCGGCGTGAAGCAATCACAGCGTTATTTATTGTAGCCGGAGGCCAAATCCTTTCAATTTTCTTCTCATACTCAATCCTTCCTTATCCTCAAAACCCTTACCCGACAGACTGGCAACGCATTTGTAACTAAGTGCTCTAGTGTTTCGTGTTGTGATATCCCTTCTTTGAATTTTCAGCAATGGGCGTTAATTTGCCAGCTCACCTAGTCATCGTGAAAAACACGCAGCAATATGTTAATGGAGCTTACCAGGTAAATAAAGCGATCCTTTAATGCCATTTCATACTTTTGCACAATTTTGTTAAGTTCGATATTTTTTACAATATTGCTGTGATTGGGCTGATATTGATCTGTGATGTCTAAGACGCATTTGGTTACATTACTACTTTATTTAAGCAAAACTGGTGATGTTGTTGGCCCGTAGATTAGGTAGATATGGCAAGCGTCCCAAGTATGAGAGAGCAGGGAAACCTTGCAAGTAACCATGTGTCGCTCTTAGATTATTTGGAATATTTGGACATTACCTGTACTTACTGACAAGCAGTGAAAAAATCACTGTCATTATGTATACCTATTGTTTGAAATTGCCAACCCACCTTGGATAAACACGCTGATTATTCATATGTCGTCCGTGCGAGAAGGGACCTTTTCTAAGCAGGCTAAAGCAAGCTAATTATGATAATGGTGTGTTAGATCACCCATCATTTTGGCCTTTATCTTCAAACTACAAACACCATGACGCACCGCAACCACAATATAAATATTCTCTATTTATTTATATTGTGCCGCAACTTCGGCCATGAGCAGGAGAAGGAACGTGGGGGTTTAGTAGTTCTCTCGCCTTACCCTGGGCGGGAGAAGTCATTTAATAATTGTCCCCGGTCAAAAAAAGCCATTAGGTACTCCCTCCGCCAATGACTACACTGAATACTGAGAATTCATTAGGTATCTTCAGCCTACTTAAGTGAATGCTGCTAAGCAAATGCTTTTTCTCACTAGGAAAAAGAATAACCATTAATCAGAATGTATGCTTACCGCCAAGGTGGATTGGCGATTTCAAAGTAATCATATGAAATTATAAGTCCAGATTTCCTCACGATGCCCTGCTTGGGCTGAGCACCGCCGTGTTCTCAGGGAAGTGATCGGCGGCGGCGACCTCTCGCGCCCGGCCTTAGTCGAGGCCATGTTGCGGAGTGAGAGGAACTGGGACGCCGTCTCCTCCTTTTGTGAAGCGGTCATGCTCGCAAAGAGAGAGGCGGCCCGCGTGAGGGAGCAATCCTCCTCCTCACGCCCCAGCAGCCGCAACAGGCGACACTACGGGCGTCGGGGATCGAGGGACGATCTCCGGCCACCGTAAGTACGGGCCTGCGGTCGGCGAGTAAGGGCAGCTCGCCGCCCGACCAGAACCAGGCCCGAGCGTACGGCGCGTAGCGTTCCGCGCGCGCCTCAAAGAGCCATTCGACCACCACAGACGGGGCCCTAAAGGGCTGATGTTCAGCCGGGGTTGCGGGGTAAGCGCAATGAGGTACCGCGACCTCGGCACAGAGCAGGAGAAGGAACAGGGGGGTTTTTAGTCAGTAAGAGTCTGACACTCCCTCCTGCCCGGCCCTGGGCGGGAGAAGTCATTTGATGATTTTCTCCTCACAAAAAAAAAAAAGATTTCCTCACGATGTTTCCTTTACTGTAGGTATAACATTGAAAGCCTGAGCTAAAAAGCTTTTATCGTTTTTGTTCTAAGGAATACAGTATAAGTACAGTGCTACAGATGGTGGGTCGCGCAGGCCGACCGCAGTTCGACACTGAAGCCACGGCTGTCATCATGACACGCCTCGTCGACAAGGTCAGACTATTTTTAAACCTCATTACCTAAGGGCTGATTTTTCAATAGTCAGATAAATGTTATATGAGGAATAAAATTGTTGGTGTCACTGTCTTATACAAACATTCTGACGCGACAACATCATCATTATTCCCCAGGTAACTTTTATCAAACCATCGAAAGCCCCAAGAAGGATAATATTATTCAGCTTTTTGTTTTAATCATTTTTGTGGTGAACTTCTGTACATCACTCACACAACTACTTAAATAAAATTAATGATTAGATACTCATTGTGAATCTTTGAATCGATAAAAGGTTATAACATAACATCAAATACTTTTCTGAACACTGCATCAAATTCAATTAAGCCAATCGTGAGATAATAATACCGGAAGAACATTCATACAAAATTGTTGCTAAGCGGCCTTTGGTACCGCAATAAGAATAACTTTAAAAAATATAATACCTATTACCTACTTATAAGTAGGAATTGATCATATTACCTCTTCAAGTATAGGTATATAAGTACATCTATACAAATATTATAAAGAGGTAAAATTTTTATGTTTGTAAGTTTACAAAGTTTACAAACTTACAAACATAAAAATTTTAATTTTGTAATCTTTGGAACCGGTGGTCGGATTTCCAAAATTCATTCACTGATATATAGCTACAATGTTCCTGAGTACTATAGGCTATAAAACATCACGCTACGATTAAATGGAGCCGGCCGAGCAGCGGGTGAAACCGCGAGAGAGTAGCTAGTATAATATATTATTTACGCTAAGAACCCTGTGGTTACAGTAACGACCGCGACACCTGTTCACAAGGCCAGTCGCATCATGTAATATTTATACAATACTTCAGGTTACTGCCGCATCCTTTATAAAAACTTCACTGCAATTTTAATTATTCAGATTACACGACGAACTTACATAAATTATTTACATTCGTGGTTTCGTTCCAACATAATTATGATCGTGGTGACTCAATTCAAAGTGTGTTATATTTAATTACTTTTAACTAGTTACCAGTTGGCTTTCCTACTCCACTCTGCTAGCATTCACTTGAATTCTATAGAATTATTCGCACCGCGTCCTTGGCCAAGAGCAGGAGAAGGAACGGTGCGGTTTTTAGTCAGTAAGAGTCTGACACTCTCTCCCGCCCAGGGCCGGGCGGAAGAAGCCATTTGATGATTTTCCCCTCACAAAAAAGGGTCAATAGACAACCACTATTAGAAAATATCATTTTCTCGATGACAACCGCGCAATTAAGTAACGTAGTCCTGGCCCAGAGCTGAAGAAAGAGTTGTTTTTTAAATTTTGTCAGTAAGACTCTGACACTCCCTCTCGCCCACCAAGAGCGGGACAGAAGTCACTGGATGATTTACCATAGTAAAAAAATCTGTAGAAATCGCGCTCTCTGCCCTTCAGTTAGGAATTTAGAGTAATTCCTTTTCTATTTTAGAACACTCGTGCACCTTTAGTTTATACTGAATTATTTATTTTATTGTTAGAAACAAAATATCAATCATTTTTGGAATAAACACAAATAAAACGCCACAAAACAGTTTTCAATACAAAAATATTTATAAAAAATCGTATAAGTATCAAAATCTACATGCAATTATATTTCTAATCGATACACATACAAAATTATAATCTAAGTTACAATTTTATAACGTTAAATGACGAACATGGCCTATATTAGAATCGTTCTAATTGATCACAGTATCGGTAACTCGATATTTGCGGTACAATTTATCTTAGAAATCGCTGACTGTACATATTATCTTATTGGCGAATGAGTTTTGCCTACACCTAGGTATATTATAGAGTATACTATGAAGACAATCAAAATTATTATACGTAAGTATACAGTATGTATGGGAGATTATAATCGTGAAAAAAGTTACTAATGCTTTCGGTAAAATTATATTTTTTCTAACATTACTCAAGCCAGTGACGATACCTGATTCTCGTGTCATAAATATCGTTTACATCACCACTAATATCAACTTAAGGATCCCTGATATAATAATAATAATAATTTACACACATTTACAATCTAATGAAAACTGAAGTAACTTTTTTCGGTTTCGACTTCTGAATCCTATGAGAAATTCGTTAAGTAGGTAAAGATGTCTATTTATCGAAATCGGTATAATTAATAAAAGAAAATGTTTTACGGCATAGAATTCAGAAATCAAATTGAACTAGTATCAATTGATCGCGGTACCAGTCTTGTAGGCGTCGTTATAAGGTCTACTTTCCTTTGCCGAAGGGGCTTGCGTTGTCTTCGAAGGTGATTTTGGGAACGAAACCGCTTTCTCCCTCCACACTGTACTCGACGGTCATGAGACGACCGTCGGGGAGGAGAACTCGGTATCCTCCGATGACCTTGCCCTGGGCATCTCCTGCTTCGTTGGCTCCGAAGTAGAGAGCTTTCTCTTGATCTTCAACGTCGTATTTGTACTCGTACTGTAGAGAAATAGTTATTAGTAGAACGCCAAAGATTGGGTTACAAAGAACGATTACTGTTTATTTCTGTGATAGCCAAGGATACACGTTTGGCTCTATAGGATTTCATCAAAATGCTCTTTTAATTCTTTGATAGATACTGAACAGTTTTTAATTCATTAGGTAGGTACCTAATTCTAAAATGCTACCGCCTTTAAACTGAGCCTACATAGGTACACACATTCTGGTTTGTTTTAGTAAAACTTTGATACACTATCATTCGAGTAAAAAAAAAGCCAGCCAATTAACATCAAGTAATTTGTACACAGTTATACATACATGAATAAGATAATAACAAGTTAAATAACTCAATTAGTAAAGTTTATTCAACGAAACTTTCTACAAAAAATTCACGACGGAATTATGCAGTCTTGTTTCTAGATTTCTAGATTAAGTATGCACATGTCAAGGTTTTTTGGCATGCACTTCTTTCTTTAAGTATTTTGGTAGTAACTAAGGTAATAAGGAAAGTGAATAACATTGCTAAAATCTGATAAAACGCGATCATAAAACGTCAGCAGTTTTGTAGTTCATACCTAATTATAATAATTACTTAGATAATGACCCGTGACGTATTTACTTATGTAATTATGTTTGCAATACCAAATTATTATTTTAAGACAATTGTAATCTTTTATTTACTCGACCATTTAAATTGTGCACTTACATTTTTAAACGACTATATGTTTGTTCATAGATACTTGAGTGTTTCACCTATTTAATTGATAACAAGGACCTTTTTCACGATCACGTATAATGTGTTTGTAAGTCTAACTTACTATAAATAGCTTAATTACCTTTTTTATTAAAATTAACTTCACATTGGCATCGTCTTGAGGAAATAGACATAATAACGATGAATAATAAAATGATTTTCTCGAATATAGGGGCCCCCTAGCGTGGCTTGAAACTAGTCGAGTTATCTCGACAAACAGTCCCGTGAGTAAAACATTAAACAAAATTAATTAGTCATATTACTTGACGTAGATATTTTACATGTTTACATAATGTCATAGTGATGCTTTAACAATATAACTTAGTCAAGTTGTAAAACCGACGTTAAATTTACATTTCTTACCCACTTACGCGTGTACCCACAACGCCATTATAATATTCCATCCAAGAGACGGTTTAACAGATTAATTATTTTTAATAGTAAAAAATATTAACACCTATTTTATTTTATTACTTTATACAAGATGCAAGTTAATCTGTCTATTTTGTATGTACTATGTAGGTGCGTATACAATACCATAAGTAAATACATATTTACTTAGGGCATTGATCAATCATAACTCTAATACAAAATACCAACACGCAATACCCAATACGTTTATTAAAAGTGTCCTTCAGTCAGCGCATTGATGTTACTGTGCCAAACTATGATTTATGCAAAAAGTATGACGGTAAGCTATTAAATATTTATATTTTATTCTTCATATATTTTGTAATCGCATAATGTAGGTAATTTTGTCTGTACATGGCATGATGAGTATTACCAAATAATGGGACCCTTTTAACAGTATTGCAAAGTAATAAAGTATGTATTATGTAAATATTAGGAAATTACTAAATATGAAAATATTTATAAGTAATTTATATGCTTTATAAAATTTCCCCACACCTGTCTATGTATTTTGAAAGCCTTATTGCTATGCAAAAACAAAACGCTGAAATAACGAATAATTAAATTTTCTAGTAGACACAATTACGTTCATAATAAGTACATATTATGAGAATAAAATTAAAATTTTTGGTGTGCGTTCGCATTATTCTTTAGTACAAATCACATGCACGTGATTCAAATAGGTTTTTATTGTGTAGTGTTTGCAATTAATCGAGATAAGCCGTGTAGTGCTCACAAAGACGGCTAAACGCAATTGCGTCCAATTAGTAGAGTTTGCGTTGCAAATGTTCACATCGTTAACATAATCGTTGGCGAGATGCACCCGATAGTGCTCGGACGTGCTGGAAACTATACTTCAGTGCTGGCGAACAATACTTAATCGATGGTATGAGGGCGAAGCGTATGAACATAATATAAGACCGAAGACGTTTCAGATATCATCTCTAAGTCTCTTGCGGCTACTATTGAACTACTAGGTACATATAAACTACACACTAAGACAATTATAAGATAGACATCAATGATAAACTTAATCCGACAACATAGTACAAGAGCATCTAATAACTTAATGTTCACTTAAAAAGAAACACAGGAAACCAAAAAACACAGTTGAACGATTAAAAACAGCTCCACGCATACATGAAGAGTGACCAAAAAAATGTAATCATTATTTCGATCTTAACGTTATCATTACATTTTGGGACCTTGGGAATTTAATTGTTGACGTTAATTTAGGCTTAGTAAAAAATAACTTGGATTGGAATACTAAATAAATACTACTAAGTATAGACGAAAATGTTTGTCATGGTTGGTACTATTGTGTTTCGGAAAATAAGTATGTAGTAGGTTTCGGTGATTTATGTAGGTACAGATAAAGGTCTACATATGTTTAAAACGATAAAATTCTTAAAACCCTTTGTATACCTAACGGTCTTGCCTACAATCTGACTTTACAATATTTACTTCGATTTCAAATAAACATTTTGGTATGTTAATTAAATATACGTAAGTATTGATTTAAAGACTCGATGTCAAAGTTCGCAAGAGTTCATACTGGCGCATTTTCGTAAGACTTCGTTAGTTGTTGGTTTAGTTCCTTTGGTAATCCTATACACATTATGTTTCTATAAATTTATATTTTTTACTTATGTATGTCAGGGGTCAAAAATGCAATACACTCTACCAATTTTAAAATGACTAAAACGTCTTTGTAATAGAACTTAATTGGTTCACAGCCAGTTTATTCAATAATTTAGATTCTATGCTATAAATTAAAGCAGTTCTCAACCATTGATTTTATTCTACAAAGATATTTTGGTCATTTTAAAATTGGTAAAGTGCAATTGCATTTTTGACCCCTGACTCTACCTACGTAAAGATGTGGGTACTGTTTTACTTCATAAAACGAAAAATCAAAGTTCATGCTCGTGCTGTTTGCATGTTCAATGGGTAGCGTTTTTATGTGCATTTCCTTAGATATACATACTTATAAGTAATAAACTGAGACGAAAGAAAAATTCAAAACAAATTGGCTATTACCGTTATTGTTTTAAAAAAGGACGATCCTTACATTCAAATTCTTTTTTAAAGCACAAAGTACCTACGCAGTCCATTACTGACTACAACCTGCAAGTGATAATGTTAAAAAATATTTATAGAATTAAAGATCAATTAAAAATGGACGGTCAAGTATTTAATAGCTGTTATAAATCCCTGTTTAGCTTATAATAGGCAATAAATTGACAAGTATTGTTATCAAAGATTTATTGACTTGCAATCGATTAGATGAACGTGATAATACGGTAGTTATTTTTTACCCTTTCAACAATGCATTAATTCATCAGCAATAAATACAGGTACCTACTGTAAGTTTCTATAAACTCTACCTATTTATACATAGTTACTTATCATACATTAATAATAGGTTTAATTGAATTTAGCATTCTGATTGTTATTTTAAAAAGAAAAGTCTTTTTTGTCATGGGAACACTATCAAATGACTTCTTCCGCCCAGAGTGAGAGGAGTGTCGGACTTTTACTGACTAAAAACCTCACCGTTCCGACTAAGCTGATGACTCAAACGAGACATTTTGATTGAAAGTTATTAAGATTACTTAGGTATATTTATTAATAATTAGGAGTAAACTAATTTAAGAAACTGCTAAACAAATCCATAACCTCTTAAACATGTATGGTATAGTAAAGTTCTACACAGACTTAAGGGCCTAAATTATCCAGTGACTAAAAAGGTTACATACATAATGAGCATGTCTCTTCAGCCATCCCTGAATTGTGTATTACCGAATACCGGTACTGACGCATCCTTCATGCTATTTAGAGTTTATTGTTAGCTTGAATATGTCGTAATTTAACATCTACCAGACTTAAACTTGCCTTAGTCGTAATGCCGTAGGTCAAAGGTATTCACGTTTTGTTTAAATTATTGCCAACGTACGAGCATCCTTGCAGCGTCTCGCTTATATGTTAAGGTAGACAACTTTTAGTTTCTATAAAAACAACTACAATAGTATCTATGTATTAAAATTAATGTACACATAATGACACATTTTAATTAAATGTAAGATGAGTTACAATGTTTTACGTATAAATAATGAGTATTTGTCTTGAGGCATTCTTCATATTTAGTTGTCATACCTGAACGTTGCGTTAAAACAGCAAAAGTCGCTGGTTGGAAACTTAATATAGGAGAGACACAATTAGGTATAATCTCAAAATATAGAAAACATGTACCAGATATATTGAAGGCCGAATGTCGGATCAAGAATAAATAAAAGGCGACTAACAATAAGCTTGCAAAGCTCAACATTAACTTTAATAGTCATTTAATCTTTCAGAGAAATGTGATGAAGCTAGAGGTTGGAAATATTTGCCTGTAATATCCTACTAATTTTATAAACGCGAAAGTTTCTGGACTGGTCATTGTAAACCCTTTATGTGTGTGACAGATGAAATTTGGCACAGGGGTGGATTTTATAACAACAGAAGCCGCTTAAGAAACTAGTATTATCGAAGGCCCAATCCTTTCCCTCGCCCCAATCCCAAAATCACCTAGTCCCTAATCCTCAAAAGGTCAGTAAATGAACATAATAAACAAGATATCACGATCGCCATTAAAATATAGTAACTAACAACACAATATTCTCAGAATCAGCAATACTAGGACATGCATACTATAAATAGCATTAAAATGTGAAGATGTTCTCTCATTGTCATTTAAAAGGGCACGGGACCTTACATAGCTAACTTATTCAATACCAATTATTTACAGTTGCATTCTTTTAATATATAGAGTTGTACAGTAATTAAAGAAGATCCATTATGCATTTGATCTAGATAGGGATAATTAGTGGTAGCAAATTCCTTGTATGGGTTGTGAAGAATTTGTGCGAAGTCCATTGTCACGCACGTGTCATCTGCAAAGCGCCATTGAGATGCTTTGGTAATTTCTGCAGAAACGAATAGGGACTTCGGGAATGTTAACTGCTTGTTATTGTTAATGTTGTAAATATTAACTACATTAAATGAAATTGCCTCAAGCTTTTCGAGAGGTAACTATTTTACTACTTAACGTAATTAGTAGATTCCAATCCAGCATTCGTTCGCGTGGAATAGTGACTTCCTGCATATTTTAGGTATAAAATTCTATCTTAAATGTCCTTTCTCGAATTCCAAACTATGTCTGTACCAAATTTCACAGAAATCGATTCAGTGGTTTAGGCGTAAAGAAAAGACAGACAGACAGACTGTGTTACTTTCGAATTTGTAATAAGTATTAGTTGGGATTTGTAATCTTAGATGTTTTAAAGTTAATTCATAACAATATAATAATATTAGCAAATTAATGACGAATGAAAATACGATAATATTTTTTTTTATAATATAGTGAAATAGCTTATATACGTACACATAAGTCTTTAATCCGACATAAGATTAATTGCATTAAACTGGCTGAATGCTTTTTGGTCATGTTCTATCGTTTTATCAACGTTTTTTGGTACGTTGTTATGGAAAATATTTTTAGAAATACATATCTTAATTTCGTTTGATTTTTAAGTAAGACAGTACAAGTTGTTAAGTAGTTACTTACGGGCATAGGCGGGTATTCTTGTTCCTGCGGCGCCGGCGCAGATGTTGCTTGCCTTACGCTCACGCACACCACCACTAGCGCACACACCAACCACTTTGTTGACGACATCTGCGGAACAAACATTATTACATTATTTATTGTTAGAAAACGGCAAAGTTCAATAGATTTGAGTTGCCAGGAGTGATGGATGCCCTTATTATAGCTGTCTTCGACCCTGTAATGTGTAGGTGCCTTAGGGACCGTATTCAAGGCAAAATTACAGTTCTTGGAAACGCTGCATCACTGTGAGTACCGAGGTACCAAGGATATAGATAGTGTGATCTCATCCTTTAACTTTACTATTTGTTCCTTTATTCTGTTGTGAATGTGAATTTCTGTCTGCCCTCCTTATATACATGTTATATTATTATTGTTTTTTGTAATTTCTTTGTGCCTTATCCTAATCTCTTTGAGGTCGGCACAATACATATATCCTATATGTGTTTTAATCTTTTGTAACGGCTTATAATATATGCAGAATAAAATAAACTTAAATAACTATTTGAATTTATCGACTGATGTAACATGTTTTAAACATTAGCTACCTTTGCTTATTTATTGCATGACTTAAGTTTTGGACTGCATCTCAGATAAAAACATTAGATCACTTAATATGGGTGCAGTGTTTACTTTATTTTTCTTAAACTTATCTTATTGTGGTAATAACGAAATATTTATTGGTGTTATACGTTCTTTGAGATCAGGCGAGAGTTATGTGTTTTGTAGAACAAAACTTGTATGAAAAAATCTAATATTTATTTCAACTTAATGCAAATTTAATCATAAATCTTAAGTTTTTTTGTTTTTTTTACCTAATTTATATCCGTATTGTCTATGTATAAGTATAGCCAACACAATAAACCTAAAGATAGCCCAAAATATTATTTTTTAAAAGAATATACTATAAAGTATATTTGCCAAAACCCTGTCGAATAATTTGACTTTCCTCAATACCTAACTAAATCTACTTGATTTATTAGCACCCAACATTTTAAAATGACCGTAATAAATTGAATGAAAAGATTCAGTGTGATATTTAAGTAGATGGGTTATTTATTTACTTAATGGTTGCAACTCGATATTCGCTTTGTTATATTATTAAATAATTTTATTTATGGGATCGTTTTAGTTAGGTATATCTACACAAAAATGTGGGAGTGTCATGTTTCGGCACGAATGGATCGGCTCTCCATAAGTGATTCCACGGCCTTAGATACAGAAAACTGACATGAAACAACCACAGCGTTGTGTTTCGCCGTGTAAGTTAGATTACCGAAGTCTCTCGTCATCCGTCTCCAAAAGTATATTTCCAAAAGACCGGCCATGGACTCATCACTTTTCTGGTGCTGCGGGTGTCCAATTTTCATAGGCAGCGCCGATTGCTTACCATCAGCTTATAATCAGAAAGTTAGCTGGCCGCCCTATCTATCATAAAAAATAAAAAATACAATATCGTCCTTTCAATAATTTGATTCTACATGCTTGTTACCTTCTATTTCATGTAAAAGTTACTGAAGGGATCTAGTGATGAAGTTTTCCTGTTGACGGTATATGTACCTATAGGTATATGTTCAATTCTCTTGTAAACGAGCCAAAGTTGCTTATAATTTTGAGAAAACGACAGTAAAGCATTCTGTTTTATGTTCTCAAACTTAGCAGTTTAGCACAAAGATACATAAAAGATTGGAATACCGTATATACTTATTCAGACTAGTTTTTATCCTAGCAATGCGGTCAAAGCCTTTAGCAGAAAGAAGCCAATACGAAGTAATTCGCATAGTATTGTTTTTGCATCAATTAAACGTTTTTAAAATCAAACGCTTGAAGCACACATCGGACGTAATTAACTCAACACAAATTAAATCATTACTCGAAGCACAGTAATTGCCGTTATATACCACATTCGTGTATCTAGTATAATTTTAATATTATAATGTTTAATTATAATTATTTATACGATGTTCAGTTTCATGAGCATTTATTATTTCCGTGGATTCTTCAATCAAAACAATAAGCAATTAAATAAGCTAATGTGGGTAAAGAATGTCAACGGTCAATGTTTAGGTCGTAAATCTATCATGAGTGTTTTATTATACCGTACTTCTTTAGGTGGAATCCGAAGCACTACTTACTTATCTTATAATACATATTACGTTTTGCATATTTTGTGCAACATTCAGGGAGCGTGTCCCCACATGACAAAATTTTACCTGCTGAGGATTGTGAAAAAATCATTGGAACGTTCACTCCACGGATAATCTTGTCTTTGCATAAAAACCTTAGTTTATTAGCATGGAAATAATGTTGATCTCTTAAATTAAATTGTTCAACCATATTATTACTTTAGTTTCTTAATATATGTAGGTTCTGATTATTCTGTTTATAAGCGGAATAATTGAACGCTCTTAATCAGATAAATAGGGTAGGATTTTTCCGATATTTTAATGGCGTACAATAAAGAAGCTGGTAAAAACGTGTATAGCTGCAAGATATCAATGATTTATCTACAAAGTAAACAGTTAGCTATCGACGCAGCTATGGAGTGACAATTACTGTAATTATCCTCGGTTTTATGTTTTTGTAACACGCACGCTTTGTGGCCTTTCCCACACGCCCGAGGATTAAGTAAACAGGTCTAGTCTCAGTATTTCAGTATTTACTAATTAAGGGTCTCCTTCGTTGAGGTAAAATCAACATCAGTTGCTTAGAAAATGAACTACTATTCCTACTACAAAATGGTAAAATGGTCCTTTGCTTATTCCACATATTTTTTTCGGGCGTTTCTGCTGTTTCTTTAGGTATTTCTTAGCTAAGTACCTAAGTATTTAAGTTTATCTAATGAGGTGGTAGTGTGAGAGGTGTGTCGACCGACCATCTAAAAGCCAGCCGACCACCTTAGTAAAGATATCATTATTTGAAAACTTCCTACACTAACATATTAACGTTCAGGTCGATCCTGAAATCTTTCGGTGTAGATAAATGCTCATTTAATTCCCAGTGGATAACTATAATCTAACAAGACGTAATAATATCGCATAAAAGAATCTCATGAGCTTAAGAATATTTGTAATCAATAACATTTTTATTTTTTTGTTGAATAATAAAAACTAGAAAATCAACTCGTTTTTTATTTTTATTTGCTTAATGCAAAATAAGTACATAATTTGCTAAGTTTAGTGTAGGTACATAATTTTTTTATTATTATTTATATGTTTGGTATTTGAAGATAAAGGGACTTCAATAGTAGCAATAAAATAGTAGTAAATTATTTAAAAGAAGGACAAATAAAAGTATCTTCATTTTCTCACGAAAACAAAAAAAAATCGACGAAAATAAAGTTAAAATATTGGGTTATGTTACTTTTATGAAGGTAACTTACACGTTTTATTGAATATATTTTTTTATCGCGGTATGTGAGTCTCAAATATAAATAAAGAAGTCTAAAAATGTTAAACGATGCCCTTATTTGACTTTTGTTAAAATAAAATTGCTCAAAAGCAATATTCACAAATCCCATACAAATTTCACTTAATTTAATTAAATCTGAAGTTAATTAGTACTAACAAAAAAGCTAATTACCATAAACAATACTTGATAGGGAACGTTGCCGGCAATCTGCATAAAACATTGACACAGGTATGCCAATAATTGAGATTTGCCTGGCCTCGCGTGATCGATTCCTGTGTGGAATTGCTTTGTCTTGTCGCCTCGCCTCGCCTCGCCGTCGCAATCTGTTGCGGACGTGTGATTGCGCACTTATTCGGCGGTTTTTATTCGTGAAAAGCCAAGGAAAACTCGCGGTGACTTTGAACATTTCGCTTGCAGACATAATGTATTGTGTGAATTACTGAAATTTCTGCAGCATATGGGAATGATTTTGTGGTGACGTTGTAGCAATGTCTATAAAAATATAATGCAGTACACGCCTTGGTATGCACTATGCAGAACTTCGATATTTCGAGAGAATCTGCTATCGAATGAAAATGTCTAGTCTCAATTACTCAACCATTTCATGTAACCTATGATGATAATTTAACTAAGTATGTCGTTGAATCAGATGATGTAAGATAATAATGTGTAAGTTGTCAATCGATTAATACAAAACCATAATTGGTCGAAGTCTACAATTAGCCTATAATACAAGTTCGCTCAATATCTAAGACAAGACAGAACCACTGATTAAATCTTACCGTTACTTATCGGTCTATCTTTCACATGACAATTGAAACTTTTTATTTCACGACCTTTATGGTCGTGGAATCTCATACACATAAAAATTCCATTTACGTTTTGCTCCGAAAATTGTAAGCATTCTTTCTCATAGTCAGACTCGGTAACTGTATTAGGCAGTCCTTGCTCTCAATAAACAATATTTTAGCAAAGAAATCTCATGGTTCAGAATGTTGTTATCACATGTGACCGTTCGATGACGAGAAACAAAATGTCATTCTCACTGTTTCTAGGTTTACGATAGTTAAGTTAACGAAGTGCGCGTGCGACCCGATATTCAACGTCTCGCTTCACGCGTGATTTCGGTTTACCATCTTGCGTTACACCGTGTGTACGTACGCTACACACGGTGTAATTTTCCGAATACACCTTGTAATTTTTGAAATAACGTAGACGATTATTGTTAATCTACAAATTGTGATAATCTACAAAGAAGTCATCCGATGTCATGAATTTAAGTTAGATGCTAACAAGATTTGATCGACAAAACTGTTAGATAGTACTCATGTCGAATTTCTTAAATTTACATTGTTACACTATAATAATCCAGTTGTTACCTGGGGCTGTCTACCAACATTTTGTAATTTATATGTATAGATAGATAGGACAATGAATAAAGAGGATAGTTTTGAGAGGGGGGGGGGTGAGTCATCAAATGGTTTTCCTCGCCCAGGGTAGGGGCAAGAGGGAGTGCACGACTCTTACCTAATTTTTTTTATATAAAAACGGTGCCCCTATCTATCTTCTCCTGTGTCATGGGTGCGTTTACAAATATAAAATATCACTTACTCATCCAAAACAATTTGTGGGTCACACAAAGAGTTCTGTTGTTCCGTGCGGGAATCGGACCCGCGGCACGTTGCACATCAACCAATTGCCCCTGCGTCAACCGTGCAGTCAAAAAGTTAAAACTACCCCGTTTCTTCTCTTACTCAGGCTGCGGTACCTGCTTACACTTCACCGCATAAGGATGAGGCGATGAAAACAAATAGAATAAACCATTGGTTATATTCTCTTTGGATGAAAATTACGATAATTTCAAGACCCACATGAGATTAAAGTATATGGATCGATTATTTAATCCGATCCTATTAATTGTCAACATGAGCTGTCACATTTTTTACATTTAACACAGTTTATGCTCTAGTTTTATCGTGGGAAATACAAGAGCCCTACAGCCTCTTAGTTCGGAAGAAATGGCAAAGGTGACGACATTGCATTTTCGCAGTCACTTGCTTAGTTAGAGTTACCAATGATAATAGTATGCAGTAAATCAATAATGTAATTCTTAAATTCACACGTTTTTGTAAAGGAACAATTGATTTTAACGTCAGTTTGCAACTGATAACGTTTTAAGATAATCGACTTGATTGACTATCGATGACGAAGTGATGATTGTGATGAATGAATCGGTTTCAAAGCTAAGCGGTTTTTTTTACTGGGAACGAATATAAGTATATGTAGTACTTAGGTGCGTATGTTATAATTAGAAAGGTACTTCGATTATGATAATTTAACATACCTAACTTTTTGTTAATGCATAATGTTTAATTCTAGGGATTACCTACTTAAAACGGTGATTTATGTGATACTTAAATTTCTAATGATCCAATTATGTTATGATTAAAAAAAAAATTTCAATTAAAGTTTTAGCACATTTGGTCACAAATGATTTTTTCCATTGATGTCGTAAGAAATTGATTTACTTAATATGTTATTACACAAAATTATTAATCGTTTCTGCTTTATTCAATTGTTTCTTGATTCTATGCTTCTATGGTATTTTTTATTTGCTTTTCATTTAAGTAGCTATACAAAAAATGCAGATGTTGTGTGAAAATTTTAAATAGCAACCGAAAACCGGTACCTAATTGTATTATGAACCTGAGTATCAAACAAAAAATTGTTTATTACAAAAGTGTAGATACGTTATGGTCGATATTAACAATGAATATATATTTAAATCAGCGTTACTAATAAGGTACTTAACTAGAAGTTTATAAAAAACCTGGCCTCTAAAAAGAATTAATCCAAATATTTTTATTAATTTAATTTTATACAACAGGGGCAAAATAACCATATACCGTCTTCTAAACTAAAGAACCGCCTCATCATCATCATCATCATCTTTAGACTCACCTTAGAAGGAATGTACACACAAATAGCACGACACTCCACACAACTTGTAACAATCGGTACCGATGACAATGATCGTTGTTTAGCGTGCAAAGCTGACTGGTGGCGCGCCCCGGCCTCGTCTGCGTCTTATATACGCACCCCACGGCTCCCCGACTTAGCGAAGATGCCGCAATGTCGCCCTATCATGATGGATGTCTCTCCGAACGTACGGATCTCGGGCCTGATAGTGCGTCGATAACCGTGACTAAATATCACCGTTTGCAGTGTATACATTGATTCACACACGACGACACGACTTTACGCACAATGCCATACATTGCTGGTTAAACATACACCAACAACAACACTCTATACACCAAACCATCAATGAGCTTAATTTTATCGCGTGATCAAACTTTACAAATTTTAAATTTTCGTAACACATGTGTTTCTACCTTTTCTCGGCATTGTACCGGTAATTATTTCATAATGTGATGACTTTTGTGTCTGCCTTCTCGGTTATAAACCAATTAAAATATAAAATTAAGCGACCGTGAACCTTTATTTTAATTATTTTAAGGCTCTATTGCGTTGGTCTTAAGTCCTTGTTTCGTAATGTTAAAAAATATGCTATCAGTCTTCAAGTGTTCCAGAATTTGTGATTGTTTATTTGCTATTTAAATTTAAATTTTACAGGTTATTAATTAATAGAATAACATAAATTTTAATAAAATAAAAGCAAGCAATGAAAGCAACAACTAAGATTTATTAATGGATTTATAGTAAAATTGAATACGATAAATTTGGTTGTAAGATTGTATTTCTCAAACTTTCATAAATATGATACATACATTGAAAGTCAAATAAAATATTGTAACAAAAATATCAACACATGCACATGTAATTTTTTCTCATAACTAATTAACTATTTCAGCCATGTACTACTTACGTAAACATTAATTGAATTATCCTCATTATATTAAAAATGTGCTACTGTAGAATGATGCACAAACCAGAAGCAACCGCTAGTCACAGTGTAGATGTTATCTCAATTTGAACAAGGAAACTGCGGAAAATGTCGTAACGTCTTATTTTGAATCTTTGTAACTTAAGGAGTGTCGTGATATAGATAAATCAAAACCTGTAACAGGAGTTTTATCGTAAGGCCTACTTTCCATAAAACGTAAGTATAGAATCTCTACTGTACTTACAGTACCTGGTTAAATTACCCATTGCATTGAAATGTGCTCATATGAAGCCTGAATTACTTAAAGTGGTTTTTTTCAGAAAACAATGTGAGATTTAAAGAAAAATAAAAATTAATTGCAATGTAATCACAGATTATAAAATGAATTATCTATTACCTATATAAAATAGTGGGTGTTGATGCACATGGCATTATGCGTAAAGCACAATATAGTTCGTTACTCTAAGTAGGGCAAAGCTTCTTCCTTATAGTTATCCTTGCTTCATCATATGGTGAAAGCGACTATCTGTCAAACGCTCATGATGAGGAAGTGGATCATACGTGGGCTTTGTGTTCTTTCACACGCTCTTCAAATATCGATAGGCAACTAAAGGCCTGCGCAGACGAGGTACTGTCCCCCGGGTACTTTTTTGTCCCTCATTATAGATCTCTTATAACTGTACGGAATAACGCACACAAAGGATTAAAAGTACCCCGTACAAAAAGTCCCCCGAACCACCGAGGACACCGAGGGACCGGACTAGACAAAAGTACGGGGGAGTCCCCGAAAAAAATAGAACCAACGTGACTAGGCCCAGCAACGCACACAGCGAACTTTAGTCTGCATTGACCGCTCGATGGTGACGCACGCGTGCACGACAAACAATGGCGCACGATATCGATTGTAAAATTTTAATAAGTGAGATTGAAAAAAGAACTCCATTATATGATACGTCAAGAAAAGAGTATCACGACCGAAATTTAAAGAAAAAGTTGTGGAACGAGGTATGTCAGGAAGTTTATTCCTCTTCAGTTTGGGATTTAATGTCGAGTGAGGACAAAACCAAATATGGTAAGTTTTTCGGATTTTCAATAAAATGCGTATTTAGTGATTTATTGTTTTTATTCAGGAAAGTTGCCACTTATTTATTAAATTTGGTTATACTGCCATGGTACAGATCCTTGAGGAGACGTAAAGTAATTGGCCATGTAATTTCGAGTTTCGATACCAGTATCTGTACCTCTTACACCAACTGGAGGTATATCCTCGAAAGTACAAGAATACAGTGTATCTTCAAAATGAATGCCATCCCTTTTACGGACAAAATTATGAAGAGTACATGCAGCTTTTATTATTGTTATTGCAAATTTCATATCAACATTCAAACTTCTTTGAAATATTGCCCATTTATTACTCAAAATACCGAATGCATTTTCAACTATTCTTCGTGCTCTTGATAGACGATAATTGAAAATGCGCTGCTTTGGACTTAAATTGCGATCAGGGTAGGGCCTCATCACATGATTTGAAACAGCAAACGCTTCGTCTCCAACAAAAACGAAAGGCATGGGATTTCCGTTCTCATCATTAGGAAGATTATGATTATTGGGAAGGGGTATTGAACCACTTGAAATACCCTTTTCTAAATTGGAATTTTTAAATATGTTTGAATCACTATGTTTCCCATACGCTCCGACATCAATGAATGTAAAACAATAGTCAGCATCAACAACCGCCATTAAGACTGTAGAAAAATATGATTTGTAATTGAAATAATTTGAACCTGAGTTTGGTGGCATCTTTAAGCGAATATGTTTACCGTCCACAGCTCCCAAACAATTTGGGAATTGAGTTTTTCTGTAGAATTCACTTGCAATCTCTAGCCATCTTTCCTCATTAAAGGCAGGAAAACATGCATTTTTACACAGCTGCCAAATTGCTGTACAAGTTTCTTTAACGATAGAACGTATAGTAGATGCTCCAATTAAGTAGTCTTCTTCAAGATCAACAAACGATGAACCTCGTGCTAAATACCTGTAAAATAAACCGGAGAAATTAAAAATCTTGCAGCCTTTTATATTGTCATTTTATTTTGCAGGAAAGGAGTTACAGAAGAGATGGACTTCTCTTAGACATTGTTTTAGAAGAGAACTCGCCGCCCAAAAAAATACGCCGTCTGGAAGTGCAGCCAAGAAGAGGAGGAAATACATGTACTTCGATTCTCTTCTATTTTTGTTGCCTTTTACAGAAATTGTAGATACAGAAGGATCTATTGAAAACGATGAACCTGAGCTGAGCAATGTGGAAAATAGGAGAGATATAACTTCTCAAGCTGAAGCAAGGTTTTCAAAACCAAGAACGGTGAGCAAAAACACCGATGAAGAAATAGTAACTCTACTTAAAGAAGGTAATCAAATGCTTTCTAAATCAAAAACATGCGATAGCGGGCAAGACGAAGATGAGTTTTTTTTACGTTCGCTTACTTCATATATGAAGGGATTTTCTGAAGAACAAAAATTATTATTGAGAATGGAAATTTTAAAGTTAATTTTAAATTTTAAGCAATCATCAAACGACAATTCAAGATTTTCTCAAATGACCGTAACACCTAATGTTAGAAATGAAACACCTAGGAGAGAGCCGCTGTCATCTATTCAAAATCGTTTTAATAATCCAATCCAGTCTGTATCGTACACCACCGCAAATGACTTGTCTGAAAATCTTGAATATATTCCTCAACCATCGACATCACAGCTCTCAAATGTAGTATCTTATACACCAACACCTGTGCATCGGGATTACGTTTTAATCACATCTCCAGAAAATGATACCTGCGACACTTTATTCAGTCTTGGCGATGGCGATGAAGAAAATTAAGTGTCTGGCTCAAGCCTCAGTAGGTACTTTAATTATGGTAGATTTATTATATAACATAAAGACTGATTAATAATTATGCATCCTTCCAAAAAAATTATGAAAAGTTGTACCTAATGTGAAAAAATATTTTATTGTGATTGATGATGATTACCAAATCTAAGATGATTAAATAATTATTACGAACTGGAAATGCATTTATTTACTTACTTTAAAGTTACTGACAGTCTCTCTTCTGGACCAATACATTTCCTCATCACTGTTTCAGAATGACTTATAGCAGGTTCCAAAATTGACAGCAACTCATCAAAAGTTCCCACCGACATTTTATAATATTTGAAAAATCTTTCTGGATATTGTTTTAACTGACCATGCTTCACATGAAAATATCCATTCAATAATCGATCTGAAATAAAGGGATGGACCCAGTATTTTCTTTTAAAACGTCTTTTTTTATTCTTAAAGTGTATGTAAATTATAACACAACGCAATTTCAGAATATTTGCTTCCATAGCGTGCGGTGCGCTTCACTTCTGGGCAACAAATGACCGCACACCGTCTGCGTTAAGTCCTTGGCAAGTCCTCGGAGGACATTTTTTCCACCGTACAGGGATTTTTGTCCTCCAGGGACAAAAGTACTTCGTCTGCGCAGGCCTTTACAAGAACCTAGTTTTGATTTCAAAACAATTTTAATTTAATCTATACGTTAATGCAAAAGTACAGTTGCTAAAATATTTCTACTACTAACCTGTAACATTATTCTCATCTTGCGGAATAATATGTGGGTAACGCCGTGGTATTATGATAGGAATCAATGTTCAATGGCAATTTTATTGTCCCAAGATTTATGCATTTCGTTCTCGATATACTCTTAATAGCGAGCGGCATAATAAAGACAGCGCCTAAATTATTCATGCAACTTAAGATGAACGCGATGCGACTGCTATAAGGATTTGCATTGGTATACTATTTTATTAAATTAAATAACAATTTACTTTATTATATTCGTACGTGGTGCATAATTAGATATTTTTAGATACCTTGAAGTTAGTAGATTATGAGATTATGAATATAGATAATAAGTAGCGATTGTGAAACAGCCTAAATATTTTTGAATAACGTGCGAAAGTGGTTATCACAATAGCCGTTTAGTTCACCTTCTTCCATGACCACATACGAAGTGCAAGGTTGAGTGTTATATGTACTTAGTGTGGTAATAACTTTGCACATATTAAATTAAATAAACGGTAAACGCTTAAAGTCACACAACAGTCGTGCATTTAAAGATGAGTCAGGTCGGGTTAGGTTTATTTATAAAGTGCAGCTAGTTACAAAAGCGGGGCCAAAACAAGAATTACTAATATCGAGAAAACAACGCTTCATCTACATCGCTTTTTATTTTCAACTTGTATTATTTATGGTAACCTAATATATTTTAATATATTATGGTTATAATAAAAATAAAATGATAACCATAATATATTAAAATTATAATAATTAAAGCCACAGAAGCTTTAATTGAACAAATAATTTGCTGTCAATAAAAATAATATTGGATTTAACTCGATGAATCTTGAAGCGATACTATATTTCCGCTCACCTGAAAGAAGTAGGTAATGTCAAAGTGTCATCGTTTGCGCCTCGCAAGGGTTTTGCATCATGGCAACAAGCCCGCGACGCTCGCGCCGTGATCGACGAAATACCTAAACGTCACATGGGACTCCCGTGAAACTGCAAAATGTTATGTCATTGTTAACTTCGACGGAAGAGTTTAATGAGCATCGTGATGCAGAAACACGAAAACAATGTTAGATAAATATGCGAAATATATTTTTTAAATTTAATTTTATTAATACATATTTAGTTCTCCTTTAAAATTGTTTTTGGAATGAAGTTGCAATTTAGTTGCTTCTAGTTTTGCGTCTATTGCTACAGGATGCTCAGATTTTTGGAAAAAGACTCTTTCTTCAGCATTTGGTTTTGTGCAAATACATTTTTTGGGGTCAATGTTAATTTTTTTCTCATTATATTCTTGGATCTTGTTTAAAATTAAAGCGTTTTCTTCTTCTAACAACTGTTTTTCACGATATAGTGCTCTTTTTGTCAATTCCGCTTTGGATATTCTATGCCAGAGTCTTGTTAAACCACTTGTTGTTGTGATAGCATTCAATACCAGCGAGTCATCTGATTGTTGTCTACGAACGTTTAATTTTGATGCGGCAGGAGAATGAGGCAAATCCGAACCGAAAGGAAGAACCTTTTCCCGTTGCGTTTCAAACTTTCGACATAGCGCTGCCATACGCAAAATTCTATCTACTTTTTCAAAAGCTTTTTCCAACCACTCTACAGTCTCATCAGACACTTTTACTAACAAACCCAATTGTTTAACATCTGTGGCAACTCCATTGTACATTTGATGTTTCAAACGTAAACAAGCATCTCTATGCCTGTCACGACGTTCTCGAAACACGGCCTGTTTGGTACCAGACTCATAAGCGTTTAATTCCGTACGTAATTTTTTGAGCAGACCATCACTATTAGCGATTTTCTTTTTTTGGGAAGCAATTATATCAGCCATCATATTTTCCTTTCGCCTTAGCTTTCGTACTGCTTTTTGATTTTCAACAGTACCCATAACGTATGATTTAAGCACAGCCTTATATTGATCCCAAACTGCATTGTAAGTATTCTCAAGAAAAGAGCGTAAATTTTCTCGTTCAGCTAGGTATTTGTTACGTTCTTCATCTGCCTTTACCATGTTTTCACCCCTTGTAGTCCACGCTAAGGTATCAGATACATTATAAGCATGATAAAGTAGGAGCTGTAAATGTGTTTCAGCTGCAGTGTGGTCAGACATTAATTGCGCTGCTTCGTCTTCAGCTCTTTTTAGTAAGTCACTCGTTGCTAGATCATTTTCTTTTGACAAGGCCTCCAAGTCAGACAAAAATTTATTAATCATTCTATCGATTGTATCGCAAAAGCTTGCCACTGTTCGTTGAAATTGGTCATCAGCAACGTCCATAAGCTTAATTGTATAACCAATGATGTGATCTTTTTTATCGTAAGATCTTTCGAAGACGTGCCACATTACTTCGATATCTTGTCTAAATATTGGTTCTTTTATTTTCAACATCATCGCGCGCCAACTTTTATCGAGTTCTCCACGTTTCAAAGCCTGTGCAGCGATCTCGCGATTTAGCTCTTCACGCTTAAGTTGCTTCCGAGCTTCATTTTCTTGCCTTAACTTCTCTAGTTTTTTTGCTTCTTTTCTGGCCTTTTTCTCTTCTTTAGACAACCCCATATTTATATTATTTTTATTATAAATAATAAAATGTCGTGCGGTGTATATACAAAATTGTTCAAATGTCAAAACACTCTCTGTCTACGATCATATTATTTTATGACGTCTATTTCTTAAATAGACGTCCCAAACGTCAACTGACATAGTTGAGCCTGTGTTTCAGCCTGATATTCTCTTAATAAAAAGTTTCAATAACAACTCTTTTACCTATATTGCTCAAGATATTCTGAGAAAAAATAATAAATTTTATTAGAGGCAGTTGGCTTCTCTTGATCAAAAGTATGTACCTATAAAATATATTATATAAGTATATAAAGTATACCTATTAAATAATATTATTATGTCCAACAGCCTCGTTATCAAGCGCTGGTTGGTGGATGCGAGCCTTTGCAAAGCTTTTTGCACAAACGTTTGCCAGAGAACCTGAACAGTGAGGCGGCTTTAGGCACCGTCGGGGATGTTGCACAGTGTGTGCAATGGTTGCGTTCTACCTTCCTATACGTACGCGCTGCTCGAGATCCCAAGAAGTGAGTATAGAAACCACAATTTCCTATATTTTTTGCTTTATTACTTTATGCAATTATAAATGAAATTGTTGGAATGAGTTGTAGAAAAATATTAAAGAAGATAGATTGGTTTGGTATAGCATGATTTGTTCGGTCGATATCTAGAGTAGTCCATATAGAAAAAAGTGTTGAATTATTATTGTAATAAGACATTTTTTTTATGTTATTATTGAACCCCAGTCTGTGCACACCATGTTTTTAAACGCCATTGACTCGCGTTTGTAGCGATATATACAGAGGCGACGCAAACGCAAATACCTATGTGGCAACACAGACGCAAGTGTATCGATACACGGCGATCCAAAAGAAGCGCACTGGCATTTTACGTTTTTGCCAAAAATATTTTTAGTTTCATTTGTTCTTCACAAAACCTATTTTTATGCAATTTTGTTGAATGCCTGTCTTATTTTTGTCTCAAAGAAGTGCGTTGCACCAAATTCTCGACTTCTATTATCAAAGAAACCTCGTTTACGGGGAGGCGCGTGCTCTGGCCGTCGCATCAGTGTCGTGCGTTATTATCGAGACACATGCGGCTTGGTATAGCGTTTGTATCGACTATCGATGCAAACGACAACAAAATGCTTTATAGGACAAAAGTGTTAGTTAAAAAACATGGTGTCCACAGGCCTTAACTAGTCTGTTGTCATGATATAACAGTTTCACCTTCCAACAGGTACCTCGGATTGCCACAAAATTCACCTCAACATCAAATTTCTAAGAAAATTGAGGGTAAGTTCATATTGTCTAACCTAATATCACGCTTTTTTTCCCCAAGACCACCAAGAATCAAGACTTACGTTTATTATATTCTATATTTGTACTTGTGTTTGTACCACATATGTTTTGCTACAATCGAAGTAGCGAACATGCAGTGGCCAGAAGCAGGCACCCGCGGGATTCGATAGAGATTTTAAACTGAATATAAATAATCTTGGCATCTATTTAAAATTTGTCTAAAAATTGTATGTTATATGTTTGCAATCAGTTATTTACCTAAATTGAAATAATCTTAGTATTTATTTTTTACGTTTACCTCTTTAATCTTTAAGACCATAGGTACTGCACAGAAACACTGTCTGTGCGATCCACTAACTAAGTCAATGTGTGATGTTTATGTAATTTGTAAGTTTATAAACTCAGCTGGGTACGATAGTGTGAAACAACATCTTTTTAAGAAAAAATATTATTCGTCATGTTCTTCAGGTCATTAGCAAAGATTTAATAGTTTTTTCATGTTAAAAAATGAAAAAAATAATGACAAGGTATCAAACTTTTACATTTTAAATAAATGATACCATACTTTTAACGTTGTAGGATAATCGCCTCATTTATCTCTATTGCATAACGTTTTGATCTTATCTCCACGTTTATAATAAAATTACATTAATTAAAATTAATTACTCGACCCATTAATTTCATAGTAACCTACCTAAATTGCTATTTTTTCATTTAACACAAAAACTATCATGTTTATTCGTTTTAATAATTTTATCGATTAATCAAAATTGTAATCTGTGGTCAATTTGTATATCTATTTGTTTATTCCAAAACGGTTTATTTGAACCGTTATTTTGATTTCCACACTTTTAATAAACACATAGCCGTCTTGGTGAACTTTGCACTAGCCAAATGACTTAATCACAATAATATTAAGTCGTGTCAGGAACTTTTTGTGGGATTTTCCGATGGTTTTGATAAAATAATTTATCAAAGAGAATCACAGAATACCTAGAAATGTAATACCAATATTCCACTTGACGAATGAAGGCATAGGTACTCACTTCTCGTCAGATTAATTTATCTCGTGTAGGTAATCAATGTCATATAATTTAAATATTTTTTTGAAAATGATTAAACGTAAAAATATCTGGGCCTTCAACAAATAACATTAACGTAGAAGATACCCACGAGTTATTTAACCAAAAATATCTACCATTATAAATCATTCCTAAGAAGTACTTACGAAGTAACAAGGAAATAAGTATTTAGCTGGTCCACGTAACGAGATTAAAACCTTAAAATGAAACAAGTTCCAAATCATTAGTTTTGTCGGAAGAGCCCATCAAATAAAAACAGATATAATTGTTAAGATAACAATATTTTATTGCACAAAAACATTGACCATTCAAATTATAAAGGCCTCTTCATTAAAGTTGTTTGCTCAATGACATCAACAACAATTATTTCTTAACGTCATTCGAAGTAAAATTTTCAATAACATACTATCATAACTATTAATTAATTCGCAGCATTTTAACGAACATCTAATGAAATACTCATAATAAAGTTATCTTTTTGTATTATCTGTATTTTAATATATTCATAACAGATTATACAATAAGTGGCAAGAATCCGGTGGCATCATCGTTGCCATATAATTGCTACATTTTATTTAAAAAAAAGTATTTATTCAATTTATAATTGCATCAACAGTCGGCTAGATGCTACTACCATACTAACTCAATAGGTCATATCACGCATACATTAATTAGTCTATTATTTATGCTATGATTTATACCTACGCATAAATGTTAGTTTATAATAATTAAATAGACAAGTGTTTCATAGATGCCCTTTTACTTCCGGAAGGATCTCACCAACATCTAAGCTATAAGCCAGGGATACCAGGGTTCGATTTTTAAAATCTTCGCCTTCAACCAGTGGCACTGAACATGTTTGATATTAAAAATCAAAGACTTTTTTAACATTAACAACTCAACCCAATTCTTGAGCAAAGGCTTCTTCTCACCACGTTTGAAACTTATAATTACAAATTATAAGTCCAGGATTCCTCGCCTTCACCATTAATTATCAGAAGCCACATTGATACTTGTCGGGTTTTGAGCTCGCGTCCTTGAGAGCCAAGAGGCTTAACGTCCGGGCTACTACGACATCCATATACCTACAAACGTCGGCCAACGTTGCAGTTGTGTATGCAAAAAATAAAAAACTATGCTGCAATTTTTTATAATGAAAAACTACTGGTATCATATCCTATTACGTAGTTTTCAATAATCAACTATTTTCTTATTTCAATATTTTAATTGATATAATATAATCATTAATATTGTTTAATAATTTTAACAAACCCGAGCGTACGGCGGGTTGTGTTTCACGTGCATCATTGAAACTGGTTGCTTTCTGTGCAACGCGCCGCGGGTGCGCTTCCTACGCAGTGTGTGTGTGTGTATGTGCAACAAAGTGCGTATCTTTGTGTGATACGATTTTTTTTGTATCTTTCATAATGTCATCATCATCTGCCAGCATTCCCACCTGCATCCATTGGCTCCCCGCGACTCTGACGATGTCGTCAGTCCACCTAGCCGCTAGGTCCTAGCGGGAGGCCTGCCCACGCTACGTTTTTTGGTCCTCGATCGCGACTTTAGTACTAATATTTTTTTATGTCTACGTATGTACCTACCTTAGCTTTGATTGGTTACCATGCCAAAAACGCGTGTCAAAATCTTTCGTTTTCACATCACCGAGTCCAATCATTATACTGCAACCGGCTAATCACGTACCTACCTTTGTTAAACTGATAGCCATGACATAAGTATTTGTAGAATACCTATCCAATTATATCTCCTCATTTTATGTCAATATTTATCTATCAATCTATGACGTTATAGGTACCTGAAGATTCTTAAACATGCAAGTTCTTTTTATCCTTCAGTTGTCTTTTAAGGTTATGACTATTAATAATTACCTTTATACTTAAAAATTGCCGCGATGATTTTCACGACTATTTTACCTAGTCCCGTCTTCTCTTCGGGAAATAAAAGTTTTTTTATTATCTGATAGGTTCTGTTAGGTACCTCTAATAATTGCTGTCAACCAGAAGCCTATACTTAGGCCTTGAATCCTTGTTCCTACAATCAATCATCAAGCTAGTTGACGTTGCATGTCACTCAAGTTTGCTATCCCCGGTCCAGAATGACCTCGCTTGAGTTCCGGATCGTGATTGATGGATGAGCGTTGTCGACACGCGCTGATCCTTAGCATTTGTCGATGCACGCGATCCTCTTATCCTTGGATTAAGTGAAGGGCTCATGCGTAATAATCACATTAGAATTTTTATTTTCATTTTTTACAGCATATTAGCGACTAATAATGGCTTTTTACGGTTGCCGTTCCCTGTTTTTTCAGCAAATTTGATATTGAAATATCAACCAGGCAATAAAGTACATGACAAAAAAGTATCCAATTTGGTGCAGTCGTTTAGTTCTTACATATCTATAAACTTAAGTTGAGGATATTAAATAGAAACAAAAATACAATATTGTTTCATAAAAACTCGATTACTGTAATTAAGCACTTCGCTAAGAGCCTCTAGCTTACAGCCTGCTTATTAAATGCCCTTTAAACGTAAAGCTATTTCTGATGTCGTCGAAGACACTTAATGTGTGTGTGTGTTTGTGCTAAATCGTAGTAAAC